CTCTCATCGATGTTTCTAACTCTCTATCCCTCTCTCTTCCTCTCTGTAAAAAAATCAATACATTTAAAGAAATATTCCTCATGTAAGTTGGGATCTGGAAGTGGGCAGTCTGAAGTCGGTCAGGGCTGGAGGGCCACTCCCTAGGGCCACCAGGAGCCCAGACTTCTTTTTGCCCCCCCCCCCCCCCCTGATATCCTTAGCATGGGGCCTCCCTGCTCAGACTTGCAAGATGGCTGGCGAACTTTCTCAATCTTTCGACCTTTCATTAGCATTCCAGGTGAGGCAGATTGAGAGGAAAAGGGCAGCAGGCAGGAGATGAGAGGCTTCCTAATTGAGTCTCTTCCATTTAACAAACGTTCCTGGAATCCTCTCTGCCTGGAACTTCCACTTATCCACGTGGCCTGAGCTGTGTCACCCGCCCGGCTCTCAGTATCCCCAGGGAACCTGGGGGCTGCCTTCTGTAGGACACTCTGAACTAAAAAGATATTGCTAACCCGGCTGGAGTGGCTCAGTGGTTGAGCATCTACCTATAAACCAGGAGGTCCCGGTCTGATTCCCGGTCAGGGCACATGCCCAGGGTTTGGGCTTGATCCCCAGTGAGGAGGCAAGCAGGAGGCAGCCGATCCATGTTACTCTCTTATTATTAATGTTTCTCTCTCTCCTTCTCCCTTTCTCTTTGAAATGAATACAAATAGATTTTAAAAATAACTGTTTTTACTGATGGATCATCAAATAGCAATATATATATATATATTTATACATATATACACACACTTTTATGTGTGTATATATGTATATATGTACCTATAAGTATATATGTATATATACACACACATAAATATATTGCCCAGTTCTCTTTACTGAGAGAATTTAAGAAGCAAAATGACCCAGAAGCCATGAACATACCCAGTGCCCAGATCTTTGTCACTGACTATGATTCTTCACTGAAAGGAGCCAATGACTGGTTCCAGGGCTGGGCCTGGGAAAGGATAGGTGAAGCGGCATCTTGTTCTACCAGAAAGGAAGGACGTGATCAAAGAATGACTGGGACATGTCAGAAAGGACACCTGTCACAAGGAGGCTCCCATATATGTGACACGAATTACCTCGGAGATATTATGTTAAGTGAAATGAGTCAGACACAAAGGGAGCAAGTACTGTATGACTTCACTTATATGCGGCAAGTAGCATAAGCAAATTAATAAAGACAGAAGGTAGAACAGAGGTAACGAGAGGCTGGGGGAAGGGAGGAATGGAGAATTATTGCTTAATGGGTACAGAGTTTCTATTTGGGGTGATGAAAAAGCTCTGGATGTGGTGGTGATAATTATACAACTATGGGGATGTACTTAATGCTCTGAGAATCAAACTAAATAATGTAGTAATAGATTTTTAACCCCATAAAGTACGACAGGACCTTTCGGGTTAAAATAAGAATCTGTAATTTTATTTCACTTCTTTTTCTTTTAAGTTTTATTGCCATTCTACTTTCTCTACAGACTTTTATTCCAATGTAATACGGTTTTATGCTTAAAAGTTTATTTTGATTATCTAATAGGTTGCCCTGCAGAAAAGTAAATATATACATATAAGTATTTTAAAACCTTCATCTTACCATAAAAATAATTCTGCATAAGGCAGAATTAAAATAATATAGTTAATTATAGTTTATCAAAACTATGTTCCAAATTGTTATAAGTATTAAGCATAGAAAGTAGAATTATATTGGAAATATATGTTTGGATTAGTGGATTCATAGTACTTATTGCTATAATGAGATAGGATTTGGCATCAAATTTTATTTTTCATTTAAAAAAATATAAGGGTTCCAACCCACTGTTCATAAAGTGAATGGGAAGGGGAGGCATTTTATTTTAACAATGTCCTTCAATTGTTGGAACATCTTTCGAGTCAGGAGCCAAGTCACATACCGATCCATCACTAAAAATCATTGTGTTAAACTCACAGCGGACAACCTAATTTTGTCTTCCATCAATTTTGCTGAAAAGAAGAATGAGAACCAATGGAGTTGGAAAGGGATTCGATACTCGGTGGTGAGAATCATTTTCCCCCTCCATGCCATCACCAGCAGCTTGCCTGGCCTATTTGTATCCCTGGAGGTCTGTCAACACTGGGGCAATGCACCTTGGGAAGAACAAGCGTGAATGGAAAGAGGGTCTCCCCTCTGCAGCGTATAGGACTGTGCCTGTGCAGAGAGAGGTGGGGAAAATGAGCTACTGGACAGGCACTGTTCTCAGATACGGGGATCTAGGAAAAGACGTTTTACCCATGTACCCACACATGTGGCTTGGAAAGTCTTTGTGTGTCCTTAGGGGTACGTGTACATTAATTCTAAAATCACTAGCAACACGCCTATTTATCCCAACAGTGTCTAGGATTAGTCATTATGCATACCTTCTCCCTTAAGGAGGCAGAATCTTAGCGCTCTTTTATTTCCCTTTTTTCTCTTTATCTGTGCCATCTCCCTCACCCAAATGTAATCTCTACCAGGGTTATCCAATAGAAAAAGAATGCAAGCCACTTGGGTAATTTAGAAAATGTTAGCAGCCAATTAAAAAACAAAAACAAAGATGGGCAATAAACAAATAAATACCCCATAAAAATAGTTTAACTCAAAATATCAAATATACCATCATTTCAACATATAATCAACATAAAAATGATTCCTGAGGTATTTTTTATACTACGTCTTCAAATCCAAGGTGTATTTCATGCTTGCAGTACATTTTTAATTCAGAGTAGTCACATTTCAAGTGCTTAATAGCCAGATTTTAGTGATTAGTGGCTACCATATTAGAACAGCAGTTCTCGAATTGTGGTTTCATTTTGTTACTGGGTTTTATTTTGTTTTTGTTACACTGGCACTTATGTAGACAGAATGATCCACTGCTTCTCATCAGTGTTTTCTTACATTTCACAAAGACTAAGAACTTTGTATTTTAACTATTTTTATAGCTCTTATCACAAATGCCTACTAAATGTTTTAACATACTACTGGCATCCGATGCAAGAATTATCAGATTAATCTTACATAGAGGATATGAAACTGTTCAAAGGTTTGCGCTTGGGCGATTGAGACTTCATGGATAGCAATCTGCACTGTCAAATGACTGCGTTTCAGCAGGATTTTAAAATTTTATCAAAAAGATCAAGGCCTTGAAAACAAAACCGGGGGAGTCCATTTCAACCTTCCTTTGCTATCCCCACTCACCAAGACCGAAATGCAATCCATCCACCTTTTCTCCTCCTCTGCGCCAGCACCCCGGGCCTGCGCCACAAGGTTCCTCATTGCACTGTCCAGGCCTCATGCATTTTCTTCTTATGCCTTAAATGATTTAAATCTCTTAGTTTTCCTTGGCCTTCACAAATGTTAACTTAATAAATAAAAGGTTGCATGACAGCCCTAGCCGGTTTGGCTCAGTGGATAGAGTATTGATTGACGTGCCGACTGACGTGTCCCAGGTTCGATTCCAGTCAAGGGTATATGCCCGGGTTTTTCGGGCTCAATCCCCAGTAGGGAGCGTGCAGGTGGCAGCTGATCAGTGATTCTCATCGATGTTTCTCTCCCTTCCTCTCTGAAATATATATATTATTTATTTATTTATTTTAACGGTTGCATGACAATGACATGACTTTTCTCAGCATGTTATACAGCTTTCCAAGGTCCTTGAACCTATAGGTGCAGTTGTTAACCTAAAAGAACGCCACAAGGCCTAGGAGACCGGAAGCCGTTCTCAGGCACAGGAGGACCCATCAGCTCCTCTTCTCTGGACAGACAAGCAGAGGGTGCTCAGGACACTGTGAGCTAAACCAGCTCGCTTTATTTTTATTTTTTAAAAATATATTCTATTTATTTTTTTACAGAGAGGAAGGGAGAGGGACAGAGAGTTAGAAACACGGATGAGAGAGAAACATCCATCAGCAGCCTCCTGCACACCTCCTAAAGGAGATGTGCCCGCATCCAAGACATATGCCTTGACTGGAATCAAACCTGGGACCCTGCAGTCCTCAGGCCGATGCTCCATCCACTGAGCCAAACCGTCCAGGGCTAATCTGACATAGCAACATCCTAGAATTACCAAAACCCAGTCCATCTTTTTATTTTTTATTTTTATTTTTTGCAGTCTTTTCACTTTTTGCATATATTCCAATCACAGGAGTTTTACACATCTCATGCACACACACACACACACACACACACACACACACACACACACTGATCCGCAACCGCCGGGCAGGAGCCTTGGATTTCCCTTCGTTTTCACACGTGAACTATTTTTTTCTCATGAAAAAAAGCATTATCATATAACGCTTAGACTCGAGCGCTTGGAAATGCAAAGGAAAGGTAAGTGACACGCCTTCCCACACCTATCGTTTTTATGAAACGCCGTCCAACGCGCAATCTCATCTTCTCGAATTTCGCGGAATTTCTTTCCAGTTTTTTTTTTTTTTTTTTTTTTCATTTTCTTTTTTCCTCTAGCCTAAGGCCCGACTCCCGTCCTCTCGGGGAGGGAGGGTCGCACGAGAGAAAGGCCTGTGGGCCAGAGATCAGAATCTGTCCGTCTCGGCGAGGGACAGGGAAGTCGTCCGTCTGGGAACACCTCGGTTCCGAATGAAATTGGGTCGATTCTGAGTAAAAAGGTGTCCGTTTGTTCAGGAAACTCCGCCTGCCCCCGACCCTTACTCTGTAGCCCGGGTGGGGGGGGGTCCCAGGTCTTGGGGGGCCCCCGCCCCCGCTCGGAGCCCGGTCTCTCCGTCGCCCCCGCACTCCCTGCCGGGAAGAGCCGCCGCCGCCGCCGCCACGCTGGACGCCTCGGCCCCGCCTCCGCCGGCTCCTGTAAGCCAATGGGAGACGACGTCCTCCACGCGTCACGCGGCGCTGGCCAATCGCGGGAGGCCACGATCGTAGAAAGGCTGGGCGCGGCCGGGCCGGGCGGCCGGGCGGCGGCGGCGCGCACTCGCGAGCGCACTCTCGGGCCATGGTGGTGGTGGCGTCCGCGCAGAGCCCGGCGGCCGGGGCCGCCAAAGTGCTGGTCCTGTCCGGCCAGCCCGCCGCCGCCGCCGCCGGAGCCCCGGCCGGCCGGCCGGTGCCGCTCATGCTGCCGGGCCAGCGAGCGGCCAGCGCGGAGGCGGAGAGCGGGGGGCCGCCCCTGGCGCGGAAGCGGCAGCGCCTCACGCACCTGAGTCCCGAGGAGAAGGCGCTGCGGAGGTGGGCCAGGGGCCCGGGTCCGAGATCGGGTCCGAAACCGGGCCCGGGGGCCGTGGGTCTGGATCGGGCAGCGGCCGGGCGCCCTGGGCCTGGCGGGTCCGATGCCAGCGTGGCGCGGGGCGGGGCGGAAGTCTGGACTCAGTGGAGTCCTGGCTGCTCCGGCGTTTATTTTATTTTGTTTTTTTAAAATATATTTTATTTTATTTATTTATTTTTTTTACAGAGAGGAAGAGAGAGGGATAGAGAATTAGAAACATCTATCTGCTGCCTCCTGCACACACCCTCCTGGGGATGTGCCCGCCACCAAGGTACCAGCCCTTTGACCGGGATCGAACCCGGGACCTTTCAGTCCGCAGGCTGGTGGTCTATCCACTGAGCCAAACCGGTTCTGGCTGATCCGGCGTTTTTTTGTTTTTTTTTTAAATTTCCTTCTTTCCTATCTCATGAGGGAGGATGCGTGGAGCTGGGTGTATTGAGCGACCACAGTCCAGTCGTTCGGCTTTGGTTGAACTTGGAGCGGGTGATCCTCTCGGTTTGCCTCCTGCGTTTGGAGGGGCCGCTGGAATGACAGTTGTTGGAACGGACTCGGAGGTCACCGCAGCCTGAAAATGGCATTTGCTTCATGACGTCGTTGGGGAGAAGAGGGGGGAAAGGAAGGAAATGCTGGGGACTCAGTCCTCTGGGGTGTTATTTCTTTTCTGATGGGTGTGCACTTGGTGATTAAGTGCCTCCTGGAGCGGATGGGGGGCTCCAGCCCCGGGGTCTGCCCGGGATCTCAGCCTCAGAGGGGATTTGTGCTTGGGGGGGGGTGGGGTGGGAAGGGAGGGCTGATTTTTGCAGCCTTTGCCGGATTGGATCAGTCCTGGTTGGATCCTGTTCGAGGGAATTGGGAGTCAGGAAGCAGCGGGGAGGGGAGTGGAAAGGGGAGGAAGAAAGGTCTTATGTTGCAAGAGGAATATTTGTGTCCAGCCCCCGCGCTGTGGCCAGAATGAGACTGAAATGGATGATGCAACACGGATGCAACACGGGAGAGAAGAGAGCAACACGAGAGAGAAGAAAGCAGGCCTTCAAGACAGGCTGAGAGAAGGCTGTGTTTTTGTTTTGTTTTTGGTTATTGAGGGGAAGAGAGCCTGGATGGTATTTTACCATCCGTCCCCCGGATGCTGTACATTTATGTGAAAGCACCAGCTGGCCGAGTTTTCGAAGAAAGATATAAATAAGGTTGGAGATGACTCAGTTGTGGTATGTCCCCCTTCTGTTCTCAGGAAACTGAAGAACAGAGTTGCAGCGCAGACCGCCAGGGACCGCAAGAAAGCCCGGATGAGCGAGCTAGAGCAACAAGTGGTAGATTTGGAAGAAGAGGTAAAAAAAACCTCCTCTCTCTGTTGCATAGCCTTCCTTGGCAAATGTTCTGACCCTGGCTGCCCATCCCAAGTTGTGGTCCCTTTGGAATAAAATGGAGCGTGTGATTAAAAGTTAAGGCTCAGTGAGGGTAGGGTGTTGGGTAAAGGATGAAGCTTCATGAGAGAAATGACCCACCCTCAGGCATATGGTACTAGATCTGTTTCAGAGTCGGCGGATGACGGCAATGTTTATCAAGGGAGTGCTAAGAAATTATTAAGGGCAGATTAGGAAAGAAATCATTGCTTAAACTTGAGTCCCTTCCTGTCATGGCCAAAGTCCACTAACGGTTCCCTTCCCCTATACTGTTGCCATTGACACTTCCTAAATAATGATTATTTACATTATTATTATTATTTTACATATTTTGATTTTATGGCTCACTTTTATTATTACCTGCTAATTCAAGATAGGGTTTTTTTTTTTTGTGTGTGTGTGTTTTTTTAAGCATCATATCTAAACTAATATAGACCTTTGCTGAGGTCTATATTAGTTGGAGGCATTGTGCTATTTGTGACCCCATGAACTGGCACTTCTTAATTAGCTTCTTTTTAGTAATTATGACCTGGGACCATGGTTGGCAAACTTGAGGCTTGCGAGCCACATGTGGCTCTTCCACAAAATACCCCAGCCTGGGCAAGTCTATTTTGAAGACGTGGCATTAGAAGAAGTTTTAAAAATTTGACCCGCAAAAGAAATTTCAATCGTTGTACTGGTGATATTTGGCTCTGTTGACTAAGGAGTTTGCTGACCACTGACTGCAAACTCAGCCTTCTAATACCTAGTGTGAACTGAAGAAGCATAGCTTTCCCAAAGGAGAAGGAAGGGAAATCAATTGAAGTGAAACGCCGTCAGGTGTATTAAGTGAAAGAATTAGATGTTTTAACAGACTCCTACGAACTTTCTTCCAGAACCAGAAACTTTTGCTGGAAAATCAACTTTTACGAGAGAAAACTCATGGCCTTGTGGTGGAGAACCAGGAGTTAAGACAGCGCCTGGGCATGGATTCCCTGGCTATGGAAGAGGAGGAGGAGACCAAGGTAAGGATCTCCTTTTCTGGTGACATCTGTCAGAACTGTTTCTAAGAGGCAGGACGGGACCTCTTTAATGACACTTTATTTTCAAGTGTGCATTGAATAGTACAAGCCCTAATACTTAATAAGTTACATGGCGCTCTAAGAGCAGGTATGAACACATGCCAATAGCCCCTAAGATGTGCCAGCATTAAGGAGAACCAGCCTGAGAGAGCCAGTCAGATCTGACTTCGAATGCTACCAAAATTATAGAAGCTTTTTGATGACTATGAATAAATAGGGAAAGGACTCATTCTAATAGTGACACTTCTCTGATAGAAGATTTATGGCTTTTAATCTATGGATTATGTCAAATCAGTGACAATGCTTAAGTGGTCTGAGATTGACAGGAGTGCAGTTCTACTCTGTGGAGTTAATGTTCAGGACAAACTTTAAAATAATTGCTATCCGAAAAGATTCTGGGCCTGAATTTACTACTTTATTACTTTAGTTATTCTTACGGAGAATATCACTAGGATATTATTTAAGGATATCAGTACTGCTTGAGCCTTTGGGGAGTAAAACTGTTTCAGGGCGTGCAAAACCACAATGAAAAGGTAGTTTTGCCTGGCCCATGTGGCTCAATGGTTGAATGACTGATCACAGTTCGATTCCTGGTGGTCAGGGGGGCAGCTGATCAATGATTCATTCATCATTGATGTTTCTATCTCTCCCTCCCTCCCCCCTTCCTCTTTGAAATCAACAAAAATATATATTTTTAAAAAGCTAGTCTTACTCCCTTTTCTCGTCTTTCCTTGAGGACTCAGGAAAATGGAGATAACAGAGGTCAGGGAAATTTTTCAGCTGTACAGATCAGGCCTCTAAATTGATGGGAAGTTGGGATCACAGCTGCCCGGCGAGCATTTCCGTGGGGTTCCCAGCCATTTGTTCATTTGGCTTTTCCTCCAGGGGGACGGAGCGAGGCCGGTGGCCGGGTCTGCTGAGTCCGCAGCGCTCAGACTACGTGCACCTCTGCAGCAGGTGCAGGCCCAGTTGTCACCCCTCCAGAGCAGCTCCCCGTGGATTCTGACAGTGTTGACTCTTCAGACTCTGAGGTATGGGGTTGCTTGGATTTACTGAAGAGGTGTATCACTAGTTAATTCCGTGTTTGATATTCCTACCAGCCGGGTTAGGACAGAAGCTGGTTTGGGCTGGGTTAGGGTTGAACATCAACTATCTTCTTAATTCCAGGTGCTTCAGGACGTGGAGCGAAGTGTAGATAAATGGGTCTGGTGGGTTCCAGAGGTTAGCCTATAGCCTATAGCCTGCAGTTTCGTCGGCAAACTGCAGCTCTCGAGCCACATGCGGTTCTTTGGCCCCTTGAGTGTGGCTCTTCCACAAAATACCACGGCCTGGGCGAGTCTATTTTGAAGAAGAGGCGATAGAAGAAGTTTAAGTTTAAAAAATGTGGCTCTCCAAAGAAATGTCCATCGTTGTCCTGTTGATATTTGGCTTGTTGACTAATGACACTGTCCTATAGCATAATGATTCATTTATATCACAGGACCTGGGACTTAGTATTCGAGGTCGATTCTCAGGTGCATTCTAATTTTTGCCTCTTGCAGTCTGATATCCTGTTGGGCATCCTGTTCAACTTGGACCCAGTCATGTTCCTCAGATGTCCTTCTCCAGACTCCACCAGCCTGGAGCAGCTCCCAGAGGTCTACCCGGAAGGACCCAGTTCCTTACCGGCCTCCCCTTCTCCATCCCTGGGGACGTCATCAGCCAAGCTGGAAGCCATTAATGAACTGATTCGTTTTGACCACGTGTATACCAAGCCCCTGGTCTTAGAGATGCCCTCTGAGCCAGAGCGCCAAGCTGATGTGGTAGTGAAAATTGAGGAAGCACCTTCCAGCCCCGCAGAGAAAGATCACCCCGAATTCGCCGTCTCAGTGAAGGAAGAACTTGTAGATGACTTCATTCCAGAGCTGGGGATCCCAGATCTGCTCTCCTCCAGCCACTGCCTGAAGCCGTCGTCCTGCCTCCTGGATGCCTATAGTGACTGTACATGTGAGGGCTCCCCCTCTCCTTTCAGCGACATGTCCTCTCTGCTCGGGGTAGACCATTCCTGGGAGGACACTTTTGCCAATGAACTCTTTCCCCAGCTGATCAGTGTCTAAAGAATGACCCGACATCGCCCTTTCCCCTGATTTTTACACTGCCTGGAAGATAGCAGAGAAGCCTGTCTGTGCTTCATTCAAAAAGCCAAAGTAGAAGATGCACAGCGAAATATTTGTCCGTTAAACCTCACAGGTCACCCCAAGTATTGTCTTTTGAGACACTCAGCAGTCCAAGGTACTCAGATCCAGTACTATATCCAGAATGACAGCTTCTGAGGTTGTAGCTTAAGGGCAGTAGTTTGCTCCACAGTACTTACACAGGGACATCAGACAGGGAGTTTATGAATGGCCCCTTTATCATTTTTCATCTCAGCATCCTAGGCCTGCCTCTGATTTTTAGGTACTGTAGTTTGCTTCTGCAAGCAAAGAGAAACCTAGCGGAGGGGGCTCCTTTCCCTCAATGTGCAGTTCAAGTAAAGATCAAGAATCTTTGTAAAATTACAGAAATTTACTATGTAAATGCTTGACGGAATCTTTCCCTGCTAGTGTAACTTTTGGAAGGTGCTTTCTTCATTTATTTAAAACTACCCACGCAATTAAAAAAGTGCAATGCAGTCTTTGTTCTCTGATTCCTTGGATCTTATCATGTTCTCCCCAGGTGTTTCATTGTTTGTTGCCATAGTGATTTATTTATCCAACTTCAGTAAGCATGCCCCTTTTGAAATGCCTGAAGGTTTTTTCCCTGTAATTACTGCTTGCTGAAATTCCTGAAGGCCATAAGAGATATAATCTACTCTTCAAGCAGTTACTGTATTTCAGGTCATTTCTTCAGCCTAACAGGCCATTATCACAGCTAATAAGTGGCAGAGCTAGAACCCTTAACCACTGTTTTCCTATACCGTCTTCTGTGAGATGAAAATCCATTTTAATCTCCCATTCAATATCAAAATTTTCTTGCCTTTATTAAAAGGTTTAAGAGCCCTTTCTAGAATCGGACTTCCTGGGGTCAACTCTGCCACTGGCTAGCTGGGTAATCCTGAACATACCACTTACCTCCTCATCTGTAAAGGGGTCAGTTGCTAAAGGATTCAGAGATGGTGTATTATAAGCACTTAGGATATTCTTGGCACCATCCCAAGCACTAAGAAGTTAGCTATTCTCTCCTAATCCAATTTGGAAGGGTTTTAATCACAGAATTAGATATACATACTCTAGAACTTGTTTCACAAAACAATGAACCAGTTCTAGAGGCTTGATGACCTCATCCTTCATGGTGCACCTCTTGGGAATCCTTTTATGAGGTAGTAAAGGGTTTCCCTCACTGACATTTCAACTATGCCAGCATTCTATGCCAATGTTAAGGCAACCTCTGGGGAGGTCAAACTGGAGGAGCAGACGAAGATGGGAGTCAGTCTCAAGCAGCAAGGCACAACAGGCTATGGTTTCAGTGCAAGGGAACGCTTTCGGTGGTGTGATTGGAGGCATGTCCACAAGCACACTTGAAGGCAAGACAGCCTAAGATCCCTGGTCACTGAAGCCAGAGCCCGATCCTGGTGCGAGGTATGCAAGCTTTGCTTAGTCTCAGTTTCTGTATCATAAATACTGTCTCCAGCTGTCCCCATGACTAAAAACTTGATCACCTGATTTTCTAGAAATGAAAACTTAAGAGCTGAGAATCTATTTAGAGATTGTGTAGGCAGCTGTAACTACAGATGCATTTTAAGCTTCCATCAAAATAGCAGAAGCATCTGGAAACTGAGGCGCAAGTAATTTACATTCAATGACATCACGTGAAAGAGGCAGCTGTACTAACAGGAATAACACACAGGACATACATAACCTGTGTAGGTTACCAGGGTTTTCATTTCCTGCACAGATGGGTGAAAATTACTCAACACTCCTCAGTCTTGAGAAAACACACCTTCATATTGAAACACTAAATGGAATGGTTGGAAATAAAAATCAAGACCTTTTCCTACAAAACCAAAACACAATTTCTATTAAGTGCAGAGGGCTGTCTATAATAGAGATTAAAAGAATCAAGTGACATGCCTGCACACCATTTCCCTGGGCCTCGTAACCCATCTGTGCGCTTCCTTGCTTCTCTAGAAATACTACACAGAGCAAACACAGTAGGCACAGAACTGTAGACAGAAGGTAATCCTGCGTTCTCCAGGAAAATTTTATGGCATAGGTTAAAGTCTAATAGTCTAAGAATTAAATCTTTACCCTTTGACCCTATATTCATTAAGGGACAGGAAGACTGGCTTACTTACCCACTAACCAGTTGTTGAAAGACGGCATCCTTATCTTGCTGGAGTTGTCATGTCTACAATGCCACTTGTAGAATATTTGAACCAAACGGATATACACAAAACTAAATTTCCCCTCAAGGAATTAAATGTTTACGCTTCTAATTGATTTTAGAGAGGGGGGAAGGAGAGAGAAAATTATTGATTAGCTGCCTCCTGCACACCCCCCTCACTGGGAATCAAACCTACAACCTGGGCATGTGCCCTGACCAGGAATCGAACCAGGGACCTTTCAATGCACAAAACAACTCTCAATCGAGCCACAATGACCAGGGCTCCCCAAGGAATTAAATGTTAAACTGCGTAAACCACATTTTATCCATAAAACCAACTGACATTTTAGGTATTGCTGGAAAAAGAGTGTAAAACGACTGGTGAAGTCTGAACACTGCCCTTAGTGAATTGGATTATAATACTATCTTGTCACTACCTAAGGTTTTTTAGTTTTTAAACCCATGAGATAACTTTTAAAAGTCACTTTTAGCCGTGATTTCCAAATCTGGGTGAAAAACAAAACAAGATCCTGAGTTTTCTGTAACTAACCCAAACTTAACCTGCCCATAAATAGGGATCCACATTTATCAAACAATGGTTGAAAATATGCAGGCAATACTGCCACCCAGTGACCTGTCAACTCAAGAAAGGAATGATCATGTAATTGAACATTCTGGAATTTTCCTATTCCTTATTTTTAAAGGTTCCAAACCTATAAAAACAACAGAACTGTTAACTTTATATACCCTTTTCAACTCTATATTTGAACATTTTTGAAGACTCAAGTCACCTCTGAATATTGGCAATCAATCACCATTGCCAATCAATGCTGTTCATACAACAGTAGTGAGTTGCTAAGAGCAGCAAGCATGCTAAGGGTTTTAGGAATGGCAAGACACAGTATGCCTGTTTTGTAAAGAGCTAATTCATTTATGAAACTTACCTTTAACCCAACATAATCATCTCTTCAGAATGTATTTAAGCCCTTTGGTGATATGATTGCTACTTCAAATACAATTTAGAGGAAAGCAAAGAAGTGATTGTTATATTTACTTAAGTACAGGAATACAAATATCTCAAAGTCCAAAACACTTATGAAGTTTTATTGAAAACAATAAGATACAGAAACACCAGATGCTCATGTTAAAGCAAAACTGACAGCATTTTCCAGAACCTTCCTAGCACTGCATCATTCTTATCACTATTAAAAAACAAAACAAAGTTCCAAATCCAAAATCATTAATGAATGAACTTGCTGGTAAACATTCTTCTCATGGTTCTAGTTCTTTTCTTAAATTTTACATTTGCACCTTTTCAAGAATGGTTTTTTTTCATTTGACTGATTGTTGAGAACTGGACTTACTTTCTTCATATTAATTTTTTTTTTAAATCCACACACCCTATTCAAACTCAGAGAAAATATACATTTGTTCACTCAAGCTCACCTGCTTTAGATAATTTTTCCTCTTCATACATTAGCATAGAAAACAAATGTTTGATCCATGCTGCAAAAGCTGTACAGAATGAAAAAAAGTTATTCCCCCAGGGAAACCTTAAGGCAAAAGCAAAAGTTTTATGCTACAAAAAGAAAAACAAAACAGAAGCATGGAGGCTGTGGAGACGGCTCAGATGAATAAGCACCACAAGAATGAAGACAATTTTAGTATAATCGTATGCAAGAAATTTAAAAAGGAGCATTAAACATCCACTTTCCTGCAGAAATAGTCATGTCAGATAGCTTGACTCCTGAAACAAGTTCTGTTTAGAGTTTAATAAACAGAATCTTAATTCTCTCCTATATTTGCTTATGGTATCAGAGCTTGTTTGGGGTTCTTCTTTCCTCCTTTTCATTACACAGACCTGTGATCAAAGCCCTGCCCCACAATTCCCATAGAAGACATATCGTGTGCTGGGTGCTTCTTGGCAAAGCTGTCACCTCCCCTTCTGCCCTCACACTGGGACTAACTCCAAATCCCGGGAGTTGCTTCATGTTTTTGGGTTGGAATAGAACACATTTTTTAACATGGAGATTTCTTTAAGGCTACAAACGTTACAAGTTGGTCCCATGAAACAATGACTTAAATGCAGGAGTTTTTCAAATGGCATGAACCAGACACTTGCAGATTCCAAAAGAATACAGTTTACATTCATCTCTAAGTCTGAGATTAAGAAACTATGAGCTGGTTTCCAACTGGTTTAAATACTGGTTTGAAGTTTGAGTCATTTTATTGTGTAGACATTAAATATTGTGTTTAAATATTAAACAGTAAATCTTTTCCTGACTGTCCAGACAGAAACAGAGAGAGCAGGAACAAAAGGCAAGAGAAGAAACAGTCCAATAAGCAGGCCTGTGATGTCTACACCATCTGTAACAGGGGAAGGAGTTCAGAATGTGTTTCAAAACTCCTGGGAGCGAGTTTCTAAAAAGTTACCTCTATACTTGGTATAAATCTTTTTCTCTCTTTCTATACAAGGTATCTGATTCCTACAAAGGGAAAACACAAAAAAGAACTAGGGTCGTCTGTTATGTGAGGAAAGGGCCGATATTACACTATTACGCTCATTTAATAAGTTATAGTGAATATTCTGTAGCATTCAAGGAATTGTCATTTCACTTCGCACTACTGAGTCCTTGCCACACAGAAAAGTACTTCCTGAGAAATAAAACAGTTCGACCTTGGTTATCCCCAAAGGATGCCTCAAGCTGGTTTGTGTCTGAAAACTGAACACTTCCTGCGAGCAGGAAGCTCTTCTCTACCAACCTCTAGGCTGCTGCGTAATAGCTGAAGCACCAGGCAAACTGGCTATTTCAGTAAATCTCAACATGGCCTGCCCGTATGTTCTCAGATAATTATCGTCAGTTTTCTAAATGAACATTTAAAACTCAACTTGTTCATACAGGTACCACCTTTTTTTTAACTGTGACGTTATCAATACTGGGCTTAGCCGACACAGCACTTCCTCGGAAATACCCACAAGATGCTTCTCCCACAGCCAATCTGCACATGGGTTACCTCAAGATCTTTTCAATTATCAAAGTTAATTAAGCTGTAAACATTTCTGAATAGTTCCGTTTATCAATTATGCAAGGGAATCCAAGGAGCTACAGTAACATAGAGCAAAAAACCTTTTGTGTTTTCATTGCATTTTCAGAGGCAGAGAGGTGAGCCACAATGCTACGGGCTAATCAATTTAGCTACATTGAACTGACAACTACTGTACACGTTTCAGAGCCTCTTATTAAATTTCTTAGCAAAAGGCTTAAGCTACTGCTTTCTTCCCTCCTTCTCCCCAGTCACAGTCACCACTGTAAACAGAGATCATATCTACACATGAAGCTGGGATTCAACTGCTGGGGTTCAGTTGTAGTAGGGGTATCCTTCTTTCTTAATGCATCTTTTTTCAACTCAGGAGTCTCAGTATTCTCCAAGTTTCTGAACAATGTGACAGATGATTGAAGTCACCCTTACACATGGAGTGTCTCGACTTGCCTGCGCAGACTGTAACCTCACAAAAATAATCCCTCTAGAAAATAGCTTTTCCCTGGAGGCAAGCTTCCTTGGCAGAAAGTTGACTTTAAGAAACGGCTACCCAAAAATGAGTCCCACCCCAAACCACAGGTGGAGATATTCTTACACCCGTTTCAGAGCTTCCAAGTCCTTATGCTATGTAAGTAGGCTCACGAATAAACACATGAGCCTTCTCAAATTTGACAACTTTAGTACAGAAACATATTTCTAGAGTTCCATCTCTTCTTCTGTGCAAGCAGCGGCCTCCAAACTGTTGTAAATAGGCAGCCCGGTCGGCCGGGGTTCCAAGAACAGTTCAGTTCTCCGGGGGAAGGTGGTGTCGGTAGAGGCGTGCTTAGCTTGGCTCTCTCTTGTGTAGCTCTTAGCACTAGGTGACGGCTTTGGCTTATCAGAAAGGAGTTCAGGGAGAGGTTTCCAGAGCACCAGCTCCATGGAAGGACGGCTCCTAAGAAATAAAATACAGATTTTTATTAAAAATTTTAAGATGTGAAAATAAAAGATATATGTTGAGAAGCTAGTCTGCTATCTAATATGTAGAATTACACAATGAAAGCATCAAAAGAGATTTACTATAATAATGCAAAATAATTTTTAGAAAGGATATTCAAATATATCTAATTTTACAGTTCTGCATGCATTTTTAATTAAGCCAACTGGCTGTACTGATGCTGTGATTAGAATATAAAAATCCAATGTAAAAAATAGAGACCCCTGATTTAATATAATTTTTTAGACAGAGTGAAAAGGAGAGAAGGGGGAGGAACACTGATGTGAGAGAGACACATGAATGTGGATTACTATTTTGTACTAACCTATTATAAATGAAAACAAAGCACTGGACAAACACATTAAAAGTATTCCAGTATGCCCTTTGCTTAGTATAGCTATGAGGTATAATGTTGCCCGGCAGATGTGGCTCGGTCAGTGGTTGAGTATTAACCTATGAACCAGGAGGTCATGGTTCGATTCCTGCTCAGGGCATATGCCCAAGTTGCAGGCTTGATCCCAAGTTGGAGGCGTGCACAAGGCAGCCAATCCAGTGACTCTCATTATTTATATTTCTCTCTCTCTCCCTCTTCTTTCCTCTCTGAAATCAATAAAAATATGTATTTTAAAAAGTGTAATTTTTGCAGTAAGCCAAAATGATTATGTGCCCAATGCCTGTGTCTGCCTCCTCCAGTCACTACTGGTTTGATGGTTTCTGGAGTCCAAAGGCAAGTAAAACAAACTAAAACACAAACAATAAAGAATATCTCCAAAGGGTAGCTTTTGGAAAACTACCAAGAGCAGAAAGTGCTATGTTTTAGGCTGGAGAGCCAGTGACCTGCTTTCTCTTGGCTGAAAGGGTTGGCTAGTTAATTATAAGCTCAAGTTAGGGGCTGTGATCTAACATCAAGCAGCGCTGAACCTACTCTGGCCAAAGGAGAAATGCTTCATCTACCTAGCATCGCTGGGACTGGCGCCCGGGAGAATGGGTCAGGTATATGCCACGTCCCTGATCATCAAGTCTCATCTAGGCAAACATAAAAGGCACAGAACCTGCCTACCGCGATACCGAGCACTGGGGATCACCTAGGCTCAAGGATTACAAGACTTAACCAGCCACCAGTAGCTCTTATGCTAAAGAGTTCCAGGACGTTTTGCTTTTTAGGGTCTTATGTTTGCTTTCCAGTTTCCTCTTGTCCTCACACTATACTCTCATTACTCACTGCAAGTGTTTGTTCTCTCACTAGCTGCTTCTGTGCATCTACTCTCATGATCTAGGAAACCAGAAAAATGAAACTATGTCTACATTAGGGGCATAATGGTGCTTACAGATAAAGGCCTGAGAAGATAAGACACTATAAGACAAACATATGAGTTTGATTTGTAACCTTTGTGATAACTCTCTTTTCAGGCTGCTGGGAGACATTTTATTTGTTTGTTTGTTTCCTAGGTCTTGATAGTATTCCCGGATTATTACAAAGCCAGGTAAACACGAGGTTTTGAAATGTGGATCTTATGTCCCACCATAAGAATTTAAGAGAATTGGCTCTTTCTTGCCAATCCTCTCATTCCCAAATAGGATATAGTGCATTTTAGGACTGTATTAAAAGAATCCAAGGGTTAAATAGGCAAAGCAGCCACTCCTGCATTCTTCAAACTCTTTCTTGTAGAGCATTTTGCTCACTCCATTTAACTAAAAAGGTCTGCAACCTGGACTCAACACAAAACCTACTGTTCTTTCCCTTGGCTGGTGATTAGGAGGTGAAGAGATGGTTAGGACAGGATAGGCAATGTCTAGACACACTGGGTTTTTAAGATCACATTTAAATGGAAACCAAGAACCAAAACTTACATGGACTCAATCATTTTCTTTGTAAAGACTTCATCAAATTCCCTCTTCAAACCTGTTTTCATAGCATCAGAAAGGACAAGACTGGGGAGATGGTTAATATTTCTGTCAGCTTCAACTTCTTCATCTTCGTCAATTATTCTAAATAAAGGCAGCACAAGCAGAGGAAAAAATTATTTAGTCAAACTATTATATAGTCTAGTAATTAGAAAAAAATTAAAATAAAAAGGATAAAAGTAACAGGTGCTATAGCAAAAGGTCAAGTGAAACATGAGGCTGTACATGAGTGGAAAAAAATTATACACAGAATACTCAACATTTAAGCTTTATATGAAATGCAAAGTTGAAGAATGTGTTCCTGGCCCCAGCTGGTTTGGCTCAGCCTGCGGACGGAAGGGTCCCAGGTTTGATTACAGTCAAGGGCACATGCCTGGGTTGCAGGCTTGATCCCCAATAGATATGTGAATGAGGGAGCCAATCAATGATTCTTTGTCATCATTGATGTTTCTCTCTGTCTCGCTCTCCCTTCCTCTCTGAAATCAATAAAAACATACATAGCCAAAACCGGTTTGGCTCAGTGGTAGAGCGTCAGTCTGGGGACTGAAAGGTCCCAGGTCTGATTCCGGTTAAGGGCATATACATTGGTTGCGGGCACATCCCCGGTAGGGGGCATGCAAGAGGCAGCTGGTTGATGTTTCTCTCTCATCAATGTTTCTAGCTCTCTATCTCTCTCCCTTCCTCTCTGTAAAAAAATCAATAAAATATATTAAAAAAACAAAACAAAAACATATATGTGTTTGCTCCCATAGACCAAAAAATGAATATTTAGAGATAGTAAGTGAAACAATTCTGTACAGTTCTATGAGAAGAGCTTACTTTAACATTTAATATGCACATTTAATGATAGCTGGGTAATTCTTGTTACAGATCAAGGTATCAACAAATGATGAATTAAACTAGCTTCAAAGTGTAGAGACATTACAGAGGAACAACAACAAGCCCGTTATGTGCGCCGCCCATTTACCTGTCCTCAATTTCCTGAAGCTTCCTTCTGGCAACTTCACACTGTGGTTCTCCAGTTGTCTGATCCATTTCTTCACAAATAACATCTAACATGCCAGGTGCAGAAAGGCCACTAGTGCATGGATTTACTCCATGACCCTCTATATCCTGATGTGCACAAAGAATCCAGTCATTAGGACCAGCACAGAGCCCTGCTTCAGTTAGCCTTTTCTTTCTTACTGGGCAACTGGAAGAAAAACGTTTTTCAATGAAAATCCTGAATAGCAATGAAATGTAGATCACCCCTACCTCTAATCAAATTCTTATATGAAAAAACTAATAACTTTAAAAAATATATATATTTTATTGATTTTGTACAGAGAGGAAGGGAGGGAGATAAGAGTTAGAAACATCGATGAAAGAGAGAGTTATTGATCAGTTGCCTCCTGCACACCCCATACTGGGGATGTGCCCGCAACCAAGGTAAATGCCCTTGACCGGAATCGAACCCGGGACCCTTCGGTCCCCAAGCCAACATTCTATCCATTGAGCCAAACCGGTCTCGGCTCTAATAACTTTTGATTGTGTGTTTACAAGATGGAAAATCACGCATTTTCTTTTCTGTCATTCTCACAGCCTCCTTGAGATATTTCCTTCTACTGCTCTCTCTGCCAAACTAAGCTGTACCTACAAGATTTTGCTTTGTAAATTATAGGTGTTCAATGTGGAAACTTAAAATCATTCCTATTTATTTGGCTCCGGATAGGTTAAGTGGGAGTAAGGAACCAAAAGTCACAGCACCAGCCATATTTTGTCACATTGCTGCTGCTCTGTCAAACTGGTCACAGGAGAAGGTGGTATGTAAGCATCCCATATTCCCTTATGCCCAAACCATATGCCTCACCAGGTCTGTGCCAAGAACTACAGGTGCTGATGATGCTGATTTCTTGGTCCTTTCCAAAATGCCAGACTGTCGGTTGGCTCTGAGTTTTTGATTAACGAGTACACCATTCCCCTACTTTCAAATATAAACTATCTTTACTTCCTTGAACATTTTATATTTCATAGAGACCTTGGAGTTCATCAAATCCAAATTCTTTGTTTCCCACATTTGGAAACTAGGATCCAGGAAAACTTACGCACTCCCTCCAAATGTCATAAATGACAGAATTACATGTTGGGCACCAGAGAGACCCACCCTAGAGCCCCTGAATCCTACTTCCGTGCCATTTTCACAAAAACTCCAGCCTCCTTAGGAAAGTTCAACTGCTCAGACTCTTATCATGAAGTAGTGTTTGCAAGCACTATGATATTACCAGTTTGGTTGAAAGCTGAATGGCAAGTAGCCCTGTTCTATTTCAGTATTTAGGCCAAAAGTACTTGATGGTCTGGGCATCAGCAAGTGCAATCTCAAGACCAGAACATCTTGTGTACGTTTCCTGATGTGCACATGTACACACTCGGGAGGGGAACTGGGGGGTTGAAAGGTACATATGCCTTCAACTTATTAGATAATGCCAACCCAAGTGACATTCTCATCCATGTGTTTGGGAGTTCCTGAGACTCCACGACCACTCCTGTATCACTGTGGCTTTAATATGCACTCCCCTAAAGACTGGTGAGGTTGAACCTCTTCTCGTTTGGCTGGTCATCTTTTATCGCGTCCACCCCACTGACTGCCTATCCATGAATACAATTTTTGCCTATTAGATCATAAAATTTAAAAATACAGATGTGGTGAGAAGATGGAAAAACAGACATTTCCACTGCTATAAAGAATAAAATGGACAACTCTGGTTCTGGCATGGCTCAGTGGTTGAGCGTGGACTTATGAACTAGGAGGTCACGGTTCGATTCCTGGTCAATTCCCAGTTGAGACACATGCCCAGGTCTGGGGTGTGCAGAAGGCAGCTGACCAATGATTCTCTCTCATCACTGATATTTCTATTTCTCTCCCTCTTCCTTTCACTCTGCAATTAAAAAAATATTTTTTATAGTATTTTAAAATTATTTAAAAAAAGAAATTTAAGACCCAGCAATTTCCCATCTAGGAAATCCATTCACCTACTTGCAAACATATACGAAGAATTTAAAAAGAATGGCCATGTGCTAAAGCCAAATAATCCAGTAAGAGAAAGACAAGTATCACACGATTCTCACTCATATGTGGAATCCAATGAACAATATAAACTGAGGACAATAGGATGGTGAAGGCCTGGGGCAGGAGGGGTGATGGGAGGGGACATATGTAATAATTTCAATAATAAGGTTTTAATTTAAAAAAAGTCATCTTAAAATCCAATCTTTCATCACATGCAAAATAAAAATAAAAAAAAGAATGCCCAAGTTAGTAATAGCAAAAAATTAGACATAATTTGGAAATCCATCAACAGGATACTGATTATACCTAGCCTTACAAAAAGGAGTTAGGAAAATTCTACGTGCCTATGGCAACAAGTTACAGACAGTAAAATGAAAAGATTATTGTTTTGCATAGTGTAAACAATGTATCTTCTTACAAATGAAATTTTTAAAAATAATTATCTTCCAGAGGAGATCTAGGAAACAGTTCCCAGTGGTTGCCTGTGGGGGAGAGCTGTGAGCTTGGAAGGTAAGACTTTTAAAATATGTACCCTTTTGCACATTTGGAGTTCTCTCACTGTGTGTGTGTGTGTGTGTGTGTAATATGCACATGGTTCAACACTCCAACTTGACAGCCCATTAGAGAGGGAAAGGTTTCCAGACTCTGCCAGCCACACTGCGACTTTCTCTAAAAGACAACCACCACTACCCGTTATATTTACTACTTCCTGTGCCTCCTTTCGTCTCTGCACTGGAAAAAAACAATGAAGGGCATAAAACAGGGGTACACTCAATGCCAAGCAGATCCATGGCACCTGAAACTTACTCATCATCCTCGTCCTCTAGCTTGTGTTTCTTTTTGCAGGGAACGGAAACACTGTCGAAATAAACAAACAAACAAGACATCAGTTTCCGGGGGAAAAAAGAAATGCATCCACTCTTTCTTGCTCCAATAAAGCCTCCTCCCCCGCAACGAACCCAGCTGTCAGTCCCCTTCCCCGGCCCCGGGGGACGGACCTGCAGGTCACAAGGTCATCAGCCAGGTAAATGTGGGCAAGTCCCGACTTCACGGGCGATAGAAACGCAAACTCCCATGCGGTCCCTGTAATTCATGGCAGACGCACCGGGGCAGACCCGGGAAGGGACCAGGTTTGCGGGGCAGGCGCCGCGATGAGCACTTTTATTTCCAAGATCGCGCCTGGAGGAGCCATGTCTGCCCCGCTTTTGCAGCAGCAGCCGCCGCCGCAGCAGCACGGAAAGTTGTCCGCATCGGCGGCCCCGCCGAGGGGACACCCGGCTCCAGATGGCCCGGACTCGAACCCGGACCCGGACCCGGCCCGGTCGCGTCGCGTCGGGGAAAGTCGTCTCCCTTCCCCCAGGTGCAGGCGGCGGAGGACTTGATCATCACGGTCCCCGGAACTGAGTTTCCCCATCCGTGACCCGGGGCGCAGACGCCTCCCGGGGACAGCGCGCCCGGCCCCCCGGCCCCCGCGCCCGCCCCCCGCGCCCCCCGCGCCCCGCGCCCGGCTCTCACCGTCCGCGCGCCGCGCTCCCGCCCGCGCTGCTCGGAGGGACGCGGGGTCCCGGCCCCGGCGGGAAGGCCCGGCCGGAGAAGGCTGGCGGCGGCGGCGGCTGCAGGAAGTCCGAGCCGCCGCTCAGGGGGAGGCCGCTGAAGGGCCGGCCGAGGGCGGCCATGGCCGGGGAGGCGAGGAGGCGGCGGCGTCCGCGGCCCAGGCCGCCCGCGTCTCTAGGCCCCGCGGCTGCAGCCACAGCGATTGTCGAGAGGTGCCCGCCTCGGAGCCCGCTCTTGACCTCACGTCACGCCTTCTAGAACCCTCCACCCCGGGGCCGCCCAGGGGCACGCTGGGATTTGTTGTGTGTGTGTGGAGAGCGGCTGCCGCGGGGGATGCTGGGAGTTGCAGTTCCTGGGGACTACAAACAAGATGGCTGCCTCGGTGTAGCAGGCTGAGCCTGGAGATGGATGGCTCTGCCAGGCTTTGGTAGGAGCTAGGTTCGAATCCTCACTTCACAAGGTAGGCATTCCGTATCTCAGTTTTCTCATGAGTAAAACCTGATGATAATGGTACCTGTCTTCCTAGGGTTGATGGGAGAAGTAAGCGAATTAAACATTTAGCCGAAACCGGTTTGGCTCAGTGGATAGAGCCTCGGCCTGCGGACTGAAAGGGCCCAGGTTCAATTCCGGTCAAGGGCATGTACCTTGGTTGCGGGCGCATCCCTAGTGGGGGGTGTGCAAGAGGCAGCTGATGGATGATTCTCTCTCATGATTCTCTCTCATTGATGTTTCTTCCTCTCTGTTAAAAAATCAATAAAATATATTAAAAAAAAATTTAGGAAAAAATAAAAATAAAAAACATAAAAACATTTAGAGCCTTTGGAACTCTTCTCAGCACATGGTACAGATTTATTAAATATCAGCCATTAATTCCTTCTATCCTATCTAATAAAAGGCTAATATGCAAATTTCCCCCTAGACCGGGAATGCAATCGGGAGTGAGTTCCAACAGGGGGTGGGGCTGGCTGGCCAACCTCCTTCGGCCCCTCCCCCTTTGCCAGCCTTGGCAGGGACCCTTGCTGGACCCCATCCACACATGAATTCGTGCAACCAGGCCTCTAGTGTTTTAATATAAATGAAATCAGTGATGCCTTAGAGGGAGCAGCAGAGAGGGTCAGTAAAGGCCTCCGAGCGCTTGTGAAGTCTTCCAGCTTCTGCCTGGGGCATCCAGAGACAGGCTTGCCAAAGGGATTAGCAGAGTTGGTCAACCCCAACCACTGACTGTGTCCTACTTTTCCCATCTCAGGGAATGGCACCACCGTCCAGTCTGATTTGTGCCAACGTGCCTTGGTTGCGGGCACATCCCCAATATGGGGTGTGCAGGAGGCAGCTGATCAATGTTTCTCTATCATTGATGTGTCTGATTTTCTATCCCTCTCCCTTTCTGAAAAAAAAAAATCAATGAAATATATATATATATATATATATATATTTAAAAAATATATACATATTTTAAAATATATTTTATTTTTTTACAGAGAGGAAGAGCGAGGGATAAAGAGTGCCAGCAACCAAGGCACATGCCCTTGACCAGAATCGAACCCAGCACCCTTCAGTCCGCAGGCCAACGCTCTATCCACTGAGCCAAACTGGTTTCAGCAATAAAATATATTAAAAAAGAAAAAGAAAGAAAGAATGATGTGTTTGTGGGAGGTGGGTGCTTTCATTCGCTTCACTGTGCCAGAACCAAACAGGGTTGCCAACCGCTCCGATGTCTGGAAGCCTACCACCCCTGGGGCTTTGTCAGGGACCACAATGAGAGTGTTCCTGGCTTTGGAAGTCCAGCTAAACGGATGGATTTAGAATAAAAGGGAAAGATTTTGGAAAGGGGGCAGGGGGGAGTAGTCCCACTGACTCAGAAGCTATGACTCAGAAATAAAGTCTTTTTTAATTTAATCCCCACGCCAGAAATGATTTGCTGGAAAGCCCAGTGACCTTTCCAGTGGATGCTAATAGGTAAGGGAAGTTTCTTTGAAGTCCCTCCAGAGATGTTATTTGAGGCAGTCTTTATCTGATTTCTTCTCGTGGTCAGATTGTTTTGGTCCTGATCATTGTTCTGAACAAGGAATAAAGATCGTTGATGAAAGCATATCAAACACTCCTTTCATCTCCTTTACAGAAGAACCCCATTTAACCAGGACATTTGCTTGCCTGGTAATTATTTACTTAGAGGAGACAAGTAAGTCAGTGCTCCTTGTAAACTGTGAGGGGTTAGAGATTGTACTGATACCCCCAAGTACCAGTAAGCAGACAGCCGTTGTGGTCCCTTTCCTTCAGAAGATCCATAAACCCTCACATGTTCCTGGGTGTAACTGGATCAGGATTCAGAAGATGCGAATTCTTAGATAAGGACGAGGGAGGATGTGAAGGAGCCACAGTGTTAAGCTCTGGTGGTATGGAAACCACAAATTTTTAGTTATAAACACGCAATCCTCTCCAAGGGTTTGAATAGTTTCCTGGCATTTTAAAATCAGAATGTTCTATTTTAATCTTATTTGATCCAGAGACTTAAAAAATATTTTTTTGTTGCTTTGGAAATGAATCAAGTACTAACACTGCATGTCCAAAGATCCAAAAGGGGAAGTGGAGTTGCTTCAGGCCGGGTTAGAAGAACACGGAAATCATGACAAGAGATTGTCAACTGTCCAGAGAAATGAAAAGTGCTTGACCTCAAGGTGGCGCTGAAAAGGCGGGTAGTGTTTAATACCAGACGGATTCTTGATAATATTAACTACATTTTGAAAGGTAGGCAGGAGACCCTGAGGCAGCTTTGCATGTTACCAAACAATGCTCTGAAGGCCATGCTGACTAGGGGACCATCATCGAGGGTCTAGCCATTAGGAAGATGTGGCTCTAGGGCAAAGGATGGCAAGCCCATGGGCAAATCTAGTCCAATGCCTGTTATGTAAAAAAAGTGCTACAGCCAAAACCGGTTTGGCTCAGTGGATAGAGCGTCGGCCTGAGGACTGAATGGTCCCAGGTTTGATTCCGGTCAAGGGCATGTACCTTGGTTGCGGGCACATCCCCAGTAGGTGTGCAGGAGGCAGCTGATCCATGTTTCTCTCTCATCGATGTTTCTAACTCTCTATCACTCTCCCTTCCTCTCTGTAAAAAATCGGCTCCATATCCACCTCCTCTTGCATCTATTGGTCTAGTTAGGGGCATGGTGTGTCAGCATCACATGAAAAACTGACCACTCAAACTCTGGCTAGGTGTTTCGCTGGCATGACAGACTTTGCCGCCCATTAACACTGAGCCACATGTTTAGCTAAGATGATATAAGTAGTTAAAGTAAATCCAGCAGAAGCCAGAAAAGAAATAAATAAGAACTTTATTAAAAAAAAAATCAGCAAGAATTAGAGGGGAACCATCTTTAACTTGATCTTTTCTTCTATATTTGAAAAGTATCTCATCTTTGTTAAAATTTCCTTGGCTTTTTCAAAATCATCTGAAATAAACAGAGACATTAATGTGAGACTTCATTTCAAGCAAGAATAAAACTAAATCTATTGATGAAAGAGCTGTATTAAAGTCTGGAGAGCTGAGCAAGTTCATCCATGTTGTAGCATGTGTCAGAACGTCCTGCCTTTTTAAGGATAATATTCAATTGTTGATGGACACTTGTTAGCTATTGTGAAAAATCCTATGAATATGGGTATCGACAAGTATTATGTCCTTGACCGAAGTCTAGCCAGACCCTCTGAACTCTCTTCTCGACTAGGCCTCAACCTTGACCTGTACTAACATATGATAACATAGCTTCTAGGAAGTCAAGGCCACATCCCTGGGATAATCCTAGACCCTCTTGAGTAATTTCAAGGCTGCAAAAGAACTCACTATTTATTGCAGCCAATACGCAAAGCTAGGGTCCATGCTTCCCTTCAGGAAGTGCCAGTTAGCAAGCCCAGATGGGTTTCACATTGACCAATTCCACCTGCCCCTCCCCTGGACCCCCACTCCAACCCCCGCCCCACCCCCACTTCCTGCCTTGGAATTTTTCACTTCCCAGATCCTACTGACCTCCTGTGCACCACCACCCCATTTCCTCCTTCTCCCTTTAAAGTGCCAGTCCCGAATTGTAGTTTAGTTTGGTTCCCAGTGGACTCTTTTCCCTATTGCAATAGTAATCACTGATTCAAATCTGTGCTTAGCGCTTTAACTAGTGTCTGGCTTTGTTTATCGTTGACAATTATCCAGCACCGTGACTCGGATCTGGATTGGAAACACCGTCGAACCCTTGGTTGTAACAGCCAGATCTTTCAAACACGCAGAGGCCCTTGTCAAATCTCTCCTCTGCTGCTCATTTGGCTACTTGGTGGCGAGTACAACTCCAATTCTCCCGACACATGTCCGAAGCACAGTGGAGCAGAGTTGGATTCTTACAGTTCTGAGTAGGCTCTCTGAGGCTGGGTCAGCGTCCCAGGTTCTTTTGAAAGGTCTCCCCGAGATTCTGGGCTAGAATCCCTCCTGGCTCCTCGTTTCCAGCGAGGATTGGCTCCCAGGCTGGAATTTTTTTTCCTGGCTCCTTGTGAGGCCTCTTTGTTCTCTCTGTTTGAGTCAGCTCCTCCATGAGAACCTCTCGGACGACAGAAACCTCCCTTCTCCAACTCCCGCTGACTGTAGGTCACCATGGTGCTGTGTCCGTTTCTTAGATCCTCTGACTTTCCTTAGGAGATTTTGGGGCTCTTTGGGAGACTTAAGATCTTCTCAAACTATCTCCTTCAAGACCTCTCCTTCCCATCACCCTCTCCCCCACCCCCCTTTCCTCCTTTACCACCCGCCATCTTCCCTTTAACTCTGATATGTCCAAGAAAAGATACTTAATTTTCCCGGGTTATATCTGTATGGTAAAACATTATTATTTCAGAAACTGTGTACTTCATAGACATTTATCAATGCCACAACTATCCATATGTCTTTGTGAAATGTTATGAATAAAGTTATTATTTTAAAAAATGTGTATCTCACAGAAACAACAAAATTTCCTTGTCAACTGTGTTCTTTTAAGAATGAACTTTCATCGGATCCCCGCCCCCCCCCCCCCCCCCCCAATATATAGGTTTTTATTTAAATCCTCTAGTCTGGTTTTCACAACACATCTGCTTCATAGTCATATATCATTATATTATTATTTTTAATAATACATTAAATTTATGCTTTCATCGGATCTTTAACTGTGGTCACTTTAATTCAACCTTTTGCTATCCATAGATAGTTGCTGTTTTACTCTGATGCTTTCCTAAAAGATTCTGCAACCAGCTACAAGTCAGACCAGTTGTGTTTTAACAAAAAGGGACTGTCTTGAAGATTCACGAGAAAGGACTCAGGAATATACACTTCTAATGGCATTGCTTAATAACTTTGAAATCAAACCCATAAACTAAATCAGAATTTCTAAAAGCCAATGGGTTCATAAAACTGCTAACCCAAGGCTAAGAAGAATAGAATTAACTACATGGGATTGAGTAAACTGATAAAGAATGACTATAACTTTTTATATATTTTGTTTGAAATTCTGCTGGCTCTTAAATGCTCTCTTTTCCAGATGTAAGAAAATCCCGTTCTGTTTCCTATTCAGCTATCTATGATTCATAAAATCTAGTAAAATTTACTTTTCTAAACAAAGTTAAAACATTTAGCTGTTGCTCCCTGCCTAATCCCTTAAAAAATTGGAAACTATGATGGAGTATTCTCCTTTTCATAGCGATATAGTTATTTGTTCACTGTTTTTGAGGTTTTGTTTAATAAGAATCTGTTCTATTTGCCATAGATTATAATTGAAAACAGTCATATTATGAACGCTTTGACTGGAAACGATGCATACAATCAGATATGACCAGACAATTTCAAGGAACTACGGTTGACTCTTTAGAGCCACAGCTTGCAAAGCCCTCTTGAAAAAAACCGGCCTGGTATCTGGCTTAGAGTTCACAGACTTAGGTAAGTAAGGGAACTTCCTGGACAGTCCAGGAAGCTCGGGATATTTTGAGAAGAGAGGAGTTCCAGACTGCTTTCTGCTTCCCACGTTCTCTTTCCCACAAAAGCTCTTATCCCACTGACCTGTAGTCATGATAGGGACTTTCTCTCTGGCTTCTGGGAGGTAGCCCTGACTCCTTACAATAACTTCCCTTGCCGAAGCCAGTTTGGCTCAGTGGTAGAGTGTCGGTCTGTGGACTGAAAGGTCCCAGGTTCGATTCCGGTTAAGGGCATGTACTTGGTTGCGGGCACATCCCTGGTGGGGGTGTGCAGGATGCAGCTGGTCGATGTTTCTCTCTCATCGACGTTTCTAGCTCTCTATCTCTCTCCCTTTCTCTCTGTTAAAAATCAACAAAATATATTTAAAAAAAAAAATAATAACTTCCCTTTACCTGGGCTCCACTGAGTGGCTTTCCGCTTCTTGCATCCCAATGAATGTTAAGCTAAAAGGCCACGAGTCTCTTAGTTAGGGGGGCAGCACGGGTCAGGAATGGGTGGAAAGGTGGTTCTTGCCTACAAACAGCTGGCAATGGACAGAGTCCCTTCATTCTGAGAGCCAGGGCCGTGGGGACATTTGTGAAGTGGGCAGAGCTCTGCCATGGGTTTCTTTTCTCGTGTGCCCTGCAGGAAAAGGGTTGTGCAGGCTTTGCCAAATGTTGAATGTGCAGCCTTCTTCTCAGAATCTACCTGTGTTGGTTTCGGCCCACACCCCTCAACTTATCTTCTACTTGTTAAAGGGGGATGCAAGCACGTTCTCTCATCTAACCTTTCACCGGCAGATCATTGCTTCTGGCACACAGCTTGCTTTTCCAGCAAGGCTGTGCATTCTGAAGGCAAAAATACACTCTCAGCTATATTTAATTCCTTCCTATTAAACCATCGTTTATGGGTATAGAATAGCTACTTGTTGAACGGATGTTTATATCTCAGTGCTTACAATTTCTTTCCATATTTGAGAAAGTGAAGAAAGGAAGACAATACCTTGTTCAAAAGCTCTGCTCAAATTGTCAGTCAATTCTTTCTGTTTTGCTGCAAGAGAAAACCATGATCTTATTTTTTCTATTTAAATAGGCAACTATTTAAGACAAGGCTACATTCCAGAGAGAGAGGGATGTTACAGGTCTAACCTCCAGACAAAATTGGTTTCAGTATACCCAAGAAGAAGAAGAAGAAGAAAAAAAAATCCCTGAATCATTTATATTCATTTTTCACTTACCCCGGAAATGAAGTGAAAATAGCAATAACATGCATTTGGTGGTATGTCATCTCTTACCTCTGACAATAGATTCAAACTCGTTAATGGCAGCTTCACTTTCAGCTTCTGCGAGTTTCTCATTGATATCCATTATTTCCATGAGGAATTGATTGTCCATTTTATAATCTGTTCCTTCGGGAATCTCTATTCCATGGAGCTTTAGCTATTGGGGCATAAAGCAGGCGAAATAAGTATTCTTCCAGAGACGATGGCCAACAGCATAAATCCTACTCACCCTTCTGAACAGAACACCACCCAGTGAGAACTTGGACTTTCCTAGCAATGAACGTGTGAGGGCAGCGTGCTGGAAACCCAGCTGCGACAGGAATGCTTGGATGGGATCCTTTTCTGCTACTTAGAAGTGTGTGACCCTGGAGGAGTCACTCCTGTACTTGTGAGTTTGAACTAAATACCGTGTTTCCCCGAAAATAAGACATCCTCCGAAAATAAGACCTAGCGCAACTTTGGGAGAAAAAAATTAATATAAGACACTGTCTTATTTTCGGGGAAACAGGGTACTTGTAAAGATTTTATGAAATCCTGCCGAAACTGGTTTGGCTCAGTGGATAGAGCGTCGGCCTTTGGACTGAAAGGACACAGGTTCGATTCTAGTCAAGGACATGTACCTTGGTTGTGGGCACATCCCCAGTTGGGAATGTGCAGGAGGCAGCTGATTAATGTTTCTAACTCTCTATCCCTCTCGCTTCCTCCTTGTAAAAATCAATAAAATATATCAAATAAAAAAAAAAGATTCTATGAAATCCTAATATTTGAAGGTATGCATGCACCTCTGCCCTTCCTTCAACACCCCCAAATTTCTTTCCTAACAGCCTTCATAATCCAATCCTTGAAATTTATAGAAAATGTTTTGTATTTTTTTTTAATGCAATTGGGCAAGTAAGATTTACAGGTAATATCCAGAGAAAACTATACTCCTGCAGTATCTTTGGGTCCGAGGACCGGCTCAAGGCTCAAGCAATGAACGCCAGGGAAGTCACACATGCAAGGGTTGGAACATCACCTTACAAGGTATAGTCCCCTGCTCAGCGGGGCCAGAAGGGTCTTGTAGGCGTCATTCACCAGGGTCGAATGCTTCTCGGAGAAGTCCTTTTCCGTCTGTGAGTGGAGAATAAGAAAGTCTTATCATTATCATCTGAGTCAGCCATCTTCCAAGAACAAACTCTTTCATAAAGTACCGATGGGCAGGAACCGAAGGACGTGGCCGAAGTGGAACTGCAGGATGAGCTACAGTTATTTCCAACTGATGGTTGTAATTCGGCAGAACAGGCCCAGGGCCTGGCAGGCTACGTTCTGGCTGTCACAGGGTGGAGCCAGCTGTCCAGCTGTGTCCCTGATAACCCGTCACCACAAGGCCACCGCCACCCACCCAGAATGCACACGTGTTTGGGTGTGATTAAGAGGGGCCCACAATCTACCTGCGACCTCTGGCCGAAGAAGTCTGGATGGACAAGGCGCTGCAGTTGCTGGAACCGATGCTGGAGCTTTGCGGTATCCACATTGAAGGAACGTTTGCTGGAAGGAAATCGGGAGATGGAATTCATGCATCAAATATTAATAGACTTGTGTACCACAGGCCTGGTTCCCGTCCCCAGGGAGGAACAGGCGATAAACATGCAACAGTGAGAAGCTCCAAAAGTGGTAGCTTCTGCGAAGAGAAAACGGAGCAGGACAGAGAGAGGGGCAGATGTGGTGGACAACGAGCTGCATTGGAGCTTCGACCTGAATGATGACGATGAGGAATCAACGATCCTAGGAAAGGTTTTAACACTGCATTAGGTTTGCCTATCTCTTGCGTCTCCTTTACTCCCTGTCCCTTTTCTTCCTAGTTAATTAATGTTTTACAGAGAGGAAGAGAGAGACAGAGAATAAGAAACATCGATCAGCTGCCTCTTGCACACTCCCTACTGGGGGTGTGCCTGCAATCAAGGTACATGCCCTTGACCAGAATCAAACCTGGGACCCTTCAGTCCACAGGCCGACGCTCTATCCACTGAGCCAAACCCGTTAGGGTCCCCAGCTTGTTTTAACCTAATCCCCTTTGTTTCCCATTCCCACATCCTGCCCTATGGTCAGTTCAGCTCTGCCCAAACTTCACCACCTCTCCGAGCTCCTCAACCTTCCGAAGAAAACAGGAAAAAACACCCATTTCTCAGATCCTCTCCCTGTCCAATTCTCCCTTTTCCCTTAGACTCCGCCCACAATATATCCCCCCCCACCCCATTCCCTCCGGTTTTACTCCCTTATCTTGGGTAACACCCCAGTATTCCTTCCTTAAAAGTTTCAACCCAAATTCAATCGTTCTGATCTCAACCCTCCAGTCTCCTTTTATAAGGCCCCTCAAGGAACCCTTCCCCCATGCCCCGCCCTCCAGTCGGCCTCAGGCCACTCAATCTCCCCCTAACTTTATTCCCCACCCCTCAGTGTTCCCTTCACCGATGTCTCCATCCCTTAAAGCCCTTTTTATTTCCTTTATTTTTTTATTAAATTATTATCTGTGTACATATCTTACCATTGCCCCCCCACCCCCCCCATACATGTCCTCCCTCCCCAGAGTTTTGTGTCCATTGCCTTAAAGCCCCTTCCCCAGGCCTGCTCTCCAGTTCCCTCTTTTCCGGTCACACCCCATCCTCCAGGTCCCCAGGCCCTATCACCCGGTCTCCAGGGTTCCGCCCACCTACCTAACCGGTCCCACCTTCTTCTCTCCCCAGATCGGCCCTTCCCTCTCCCACGCCAGCTCCCGACGTCTCCCTCTCGCCCCGAAGCCGCCTCCCGTACCAGTCCATGAGGCTGAAGTGGTCTCTGGTGGGGTCGGGTGGCTGCAGCGCCCGGCACTGGGGGCAGAAGAACCCGTCCTCCCGGATGGGGCCCCCTGGGCCGCCGCAGTTCCAACACTGGGGGGCGCTGCTTCCTGCGAGCGACGGAGCATTGCAGCTCAGCGGTCTCCTTGCGAGGACCCCGGTCGGCCACCACCCCCACACCCGGGGCAAGGCCCCGGCCCTGCCGCCCCACATCTGGCCCGCGGCGGCGTACCCCGTCCGGGGGTCAAACCGGCCAGAACCGCAGACAAGACGAGGCTGCTGATTGGCTGGAGGGCTGAAGGGGCGGGATCACTCCGGGAAAACTTGGAGTCCGAGTCCCGCTCTACGGCTTAAACTACAACTCCCAGCAAGCAGCGAGGCCACCCTGGGACGGCCACTTCCGCCGCTCCTCATTGGTCCGGCCGAGGCGGAAGGGTGTTTTGATTGGTCGAGGGTGGAGTTTGTATCTGTTGAGCGCCACGCCGCGAGCTGCAGCTGTAGTGAGTGTGTGTGGCTCCAGGTGGGCTCACGCGGTGAGTGTCCGTGGGGGGAACGTCCCTTGTGCGTCTGGGGGTTCGAATCCCGTCCTTAGTGTCTTAATGCGAGCTGAATTTCCCGAGCTTCTGACTGTCCTTTTTTTTTTTAACCTCTGGGCCGGGAGTGGGGGGGGGGGGGAGGAGGAGAGGAATAGGCGTGGGCGACTCTCTTCCTTTTTTGCAGATGAACTTGTCGATGAACTTCCAGGTGAAGTTCATTTCCCGTTTGCTTACAAGCTGGAAGTGGCTCAGACTTGCAGGCTAAGCAGCAACAAAGCTGAATTCTTTCTATAAGTGTTAATAATTATTGAACTTTAGGTTCAATATCGAAAATACCTGTTGAGAACCCACAGGTATTTTCCTAGCTGCTAGGCATAGCACGAACTGGAAACACAGTTCCTGGGTTGGAGGATTCCCCGCAAAGTGTCCATAAGGAGGGGTGCGGACTGGGGTGGGGAGGAAAGGGCAGGAGAGCACCAGCCCTCCTTGGGACTAGGTTTCTCTATTTGAAAAAGAAATTGTGTTGCACTGCTGTCGGATTCCTGCGGACTGGAATTCTGTTCTCCCCAAAATCAAGACATTGCTAGGGAGGAGCATCCGTGCATCTTCTCACTTAATCCTCAGTATCTACTTCTAGCAGATAAGTTTCCTAGAGGTTGTGATCTACCTCAAGGTCATGCAGAGATCTGACCCAGGCATCTGACTCCAGACCTATTTGTTTCTACTTCACTGTATGTTAAAAAAATATATTTTATTGATTTTTACAGAGAGGAAGGGAGAAGGATAGAGAGTTAGAAACATCCATCAGCTGCCTCCTGCACATCTCCCTCTTGCACAACCCCCACTAGGCATGTGCCCACAACCAAGGTACATGACCCTGACCGGAATCGAACCCGGGACCCCTCAGTCTGCAGCCTGGCTCTCTATTCACTGAGCCACACCGGTTAGGGCTACTTCACTGTATTTTCTCATGGCTGAGGCCAGTGTGGTTCCCACCTGATTTACCTTTATTTATCATACTCTGATGGCTGCCTCCTGACACACTGTCTTTTTGCCAGTGTCCAGGGTGGAGAAGTTTTGCTCCAAAACTTCAGAAGGACTCGGCCTAATTGAGGAAGCATTAGTGCAGCCCGAGTGGCAGACTCCACTCCGGCATCGCCTTCCTGGTGGGGGTGTGCAGAAGACAGCACAAAAAGAAAATTACTTGGACTATATTGTAGTTTGGTTATCAGAGTTTACCTGTCCATCAAGTTAGTTCTTTTTAAAAAAATATATATTTTATTGATTTTTTACGGAGAGGAAGGGAGAGGGATAGAGAGTTAGAAACATCAATTAGAGAGAAGCATCAACCAGCTGCTTCCTGCACACCCTCCCACCGGGGATGTGCCCACAAGCAATGCACATGCCCCTGACCGGAATCGAACCTGGGACCCCTCAGTCTGCACGCCGAGGCTTTATCCACTGAGCCAAACCAGCCAGGGCCTTCAAGTAATTTTTAAAATTTCTTTCCTCCTTGGCTTGTGGCTATCAGACGAAACACTGATCTAGTGAAAGTGAGCTGAAGTAAAGCTTAACCCAGAAGAATTGTATGTCTAGACGGTTAGAGTTTTATTTTTGCAGAGCATACTTGCCCTGGATTTTTTTTATTTGTCATTGTAACTTGCTCATACTTCACTTTAAACAAACAATATATATATTGACCTTAGAGGGGAGGAGAGGGGGAAGAGAGAGAACAAGAGGGACAGAAACTTGGATTTGTTGTGCCACTGATTTATCTATTCACTGATTGCTGCTTTTATGTGCTCTGATCTAGGATCGAACCTGCAACCTTGGCATTGGGATGATGCGCTCATAACCAACTGAGCTACCCTGCCGGGGCCTCATCCTTCACCCTTGAACTTTGAGTCTTGTTCCTTGAAACGCACCTTATTGTCGAACGCTTATTTTTGAGGTGGCGATGTCTCGGGAGACAGATGGGGAGCGTCAGCAGCCCCAAGGCCCATCCTCCCAGCCCCATGGCCCCTCCTCCCAGCCCCACGGCCCCTCCTCCCAGCCCCAAGGCCACTCCTCCCAGCCCCATGGCCCCTCCTCCCAGCCCCAAGGCCCCTCCTCCCAGCCCCATGGCCCCTCCTCCCAGCCCCATGGCCCCTCCTCCCAGTCCCAGAACTCATCCGGGTCCTCCACCAGCACAGTAACAACGTCCAGCCAGTCCTCTCACTCCAGCTCGGGGACGCTGAGCTCCTTGGACACAGTGTCCACTCAGGAGCTGTATTCCATTCCTGAGGACCAGGAACCCGATGAGTCGGTCCCTGCCCCTTGGGCTCGAGTGTGGGCCCTTCAGGACGGATTCTCCAATCTCGGTAAGACCCTCTGTTCTGTAGTGCAGTGTCACTGGTGTTCAGGAAAAGCAATGACAGGTGTTGGTGGCGGCAGAAAGCTCAAGACGCTGCCTGTACTAGTTGCTCCAGGATTACAGGAACCTGTGCTAAGACTTGAACTTGTGCCCTGCACAAAGACAGCTTCTGCTCGCCTGATGCTGGGTGGGGTGTTGGGACTATCTTTTTAAAGTTCAAAATAACCCTATGAGAGTCTTCATCCTTACCTCCATTTTACAGAAGAACAAACTGAGGCCTAGAAAAAAGCTGATGAACTTGTTTGCAGTCATACAGTCAGGAGTTGGTAGGAGAACGATTTGAACCTACAACATTTAGATTTTAGACCTCTGTTGTTGTTATTATTATTTTTTCCAATACACTTTATTGATTTCTCACAGAGAGGAGAGGAGAGTGTCAGAAACATCGATGAGAGAGAAACATCCATCAGCTGCCTCCTGCACCCCCTCCCTACTGGGGATGTGCCCGCAACCAAGGTACATGCCCTTGACTGGAATCGAACCTGGGACCTTTCAGTCCGCAGGCCGAAGCTCTGTCCACTGAGCCAAACCAGTTTCAGCTTCTGAGCAGTTTTTAAAGGCGTTGGATAGATGACACACTCCCCCCCCCCCCCCCCCCCCCCCCCCCCCCCCCCCCCCCGGTGTGCTTCTGTGTTGCAGAGTGTGTGAATGACAGCTACTGGTTCGGGAGGGACCGGAGCTGTGAGTACTGCTTTGATGAGCCCCTGCTGAAAAGCACGGATAAATACCGGACGTACAGCAAGAAGCACTTCCGGATTTTCAGGGTAGGTGACCAGGAGCCGCCTGTTTGGGAGAGCTGGTGATCTAGTCCTTTCTGTTAAAGCTTTAAAAAAACACACAAAACAACCGCTTGGAAGTACACTGTGCTGTGTCGTAGGAAATGGGCCCTAAAAACTCGTACATCGCGTACATAGAAGACCACAGTGGGAACGGGACCTTCGTGAACAGAGAGCTTGTGGGGAAGGGAAGACGCCTTCCTTTGAGTAACAATTCGGAAATCGCACTGTCCGTGTGGAGTAACAAAGGTAAGCCATGATTTTGTGGCTGCCGGGTGTTTTTTCCCTTCCTCCCCTATCAAAGGAAATTTGACATTGTGTTCTTGGCAGAAATTGGTTTAAAAAAAAAAAAAGTATGCCGAAACCGGTGTGGCTCAGTGGATAGAGCGTCGGCCTGCAGACTGAAGGGTCCCAGGTCCGATTCCGGTCAAGGGCATGTAACTTGGTTGTGGGCACATCCCCAGTGGGGGGTGTGCAGGAGGAAGGTGATCGGTGTTTCTCTCTCATTGATGTTTTTAACTCCCTTCCTTTATATAAAAAAATCAATAAAATATATATTAAAAAAAATGTATGTAGGTTAGCGTTCAAGGTTCTACTCAGTCCTGGTTGCATTAATATATATATATTTCAGAAAGGGAGAGGAGAGAGAGAGAGGAACATCAATGATGAGAGAATCATTGTCGGCTGCCTCCTGCACACCTGCTACTGGGGATCGAGCCCGAAACTCAGGCATGTGCCCTGACTAGGAATCAAATCTGAGTCCCTTCCATCTGCAGGCCAACGCTCTATCCACTGAGCCAAACCAGCCAGGGCAGCACCGGTATTTTACATTAGTGCAATTGGTTAAAAAATTCGGAGCTCGCCGAAACTGGTTTGGCTCAGTGGTAGAGCGTCGGTCTGCGGACTGAAAGGTCCCAGGTTCGATTCCGGTCAAGGCCATGTACCTTGGTTTTGGGCACATCCCCAGTAGGAGGTGTGCAAGAGGCAGCTGGTCGATGTTTCTAGCGCTCTCTCTCCCTTCTCTGTAAAAAAAAAAATCAATAAAATATAATAATAAATAAATAAAATGTTCGATGTTTAAAAAAAAAAAAATCCAAGCTCAAGGTATAAAACTAGTATTTATGTATGGATTTTATGCACTACTATGAGAAGGAGATACCGTGTATCTCCATTGGAGAATGACATTTGTCATCATTTTCCAAGGGTTTCATGACATTCAGCCTAGCCAAATAGTTTCTTTGGGGTTAGATAGTAAATGTAATTAAACAATTGCCTTATAGTCCACGTGTTTACTAAAATTTAGGACCATTTACCTTCTCTTTACCTAATGAATTAATGAGACCTATTTCTGCCCTTTTTTCCTTAGTTTTTGTATTTTTCGATCTGACTGTAGATGACCAATCAGTTTATCCCAAGGAATTAAGAGACCAATACATCATGTCAAAAACGCTTGGAAGGTAAATTTTCTTTTTCTTATGGAAATTGTACTTAATTTTTTTCTAAACATTTGTAGCTTAGAGAGAAGAAAGGAGGGGGGAAGGGAGTGGGAAGGAGAGAGAGAAGTATTAATGTAAGAGAGAAACATCAATCTGTTGCCTTCTGTACATTTCCCAACTGAATATCAAACCCACAACCCAGGAATGTGCCCTGACCAGGAATTGAACCAGCAACCTTCTAGTGCACAGGGAGGTGCTCAACCATCTGAGCCACTCCAACCAGGCTTGTTCCTGGTTTTATAATATTCACTAGTGGCCCAGTGCACAAAATTTGATCATAGGGATGGGGGGAGGTGTCCCTCAGCCTGGTCTGTATCCTCTCCAATCTGGGACCCCTCGGTGGATGTCCGATTGCCGGTTTTGCCCCCATCCCACAAACCGGCAGTCAGACATCCCTCTCACAATCCGGGACTGCTGGCTCCTAACTGCTCGCCTGCCTGCCTGATTGCCCCTAACCACTTCTACCTGCCAATGATCGCCCCCTAACTGCTCCCCTGCCAGCCTGATTGTCTCCTAACAGGTCCCAGGTTTGATTCCGGTCAAGGGCACATCCCCAGTGGGGGGTGTGCAGGAGGCAGCTGATCGATGTTTCTCTCTCATCGATATTTCTAACTCTCTCTCTGCCTTTCTCTCTGTAAAAAAATCAATAATATATATATATATATATTAAAAAAAAGAGAGAGAGAAAAAAAAAAAGAAATATGTGGGACTCTTATTTTTTCCCTAAGGCAGGATTCCATACAAATCCTCTAATATGTGGCAGGTGACAGGAACTTCAGTGAGTCAGTGAAGACATTCATTGGCTCTTCTGGCCCTGGCCAGGTGGCTCAGTTGGTTAGAGCTTTGTCTGGCCCGCTATACCAAGGTTGTGGGTTCAGTCCCAGGTCAGGGTAGCTGCAAGCATCAGCCAAGGAATACATACATCAGTGGAACAGCAAATGGATGTTTCTCTCTCTCTTTTTCCCTTCCTCGCTCTCAAAGAAAGAAGGCAAGAAATTTATTGGCTCTTGTCATTGGGAAATTCAGGGGCCCAGCTGACTTCAGTCATGGCTCGACCAGGAGGCCTTTGAGTTCTGATTACCTCCTGGGCTTTGTCCGCGGCTAGATCTGAGGGCTCCCACCGTGTTGCCAGGGCTCCGGCTCCCGCCCTCGGTTCAGCGGCTCTTTGTGGCCTTCCTGTAGAACTGCTTTCTCCGTGTGGCAGGCAAATCGGCTTTCAGGGACTCCACATTCCTGTCTTCTTTCTTCCAGAAACCACAGCAGAGAGAACTGCTTCTCTCCCAGCATCAGCCTTTGATTCCAGGGCAAACCCCTGATTGGCTTAATTTTACATGTCGCCCCCTCCCCCGGCCCCCCCATCGTGCTAGTAGTGCCTGTTGTACCATTGGAGACATCCCACTGGACTCAGGGAAGATTTCTCAGGCCAAAGGTGACTGTTCGCTGCAGCGGAAGGGGAATTGGAAAAGGTCTTGAACATTTTCCAATATTTACTTATTTTGCTAATCCTCATCCAAGGAGATTTTACCATTGATGTTTAGAGAGTGGAAGGGAGTGATGGTGAGAGAGAGAGAAACAGAAACATCATATGTACACATATAATACGTTAATAAAAAGAAACATCAGTATGAGAGACGCATCAATAAGCTGCCTCAATGTAAGAAGTAAAACTATAAAACTGTGAGAAGAAATCATGACCTTTGACTTGGCAGAGGTTATTGAAATATGGCACCAAAGCATAGGCAACAACAGAAAAAAGTAGATAAATTAGGCTTCATCAAACTTAAAAACGTTTTGTGCATCAAAAGACATTGTCAGGAGACTGAAGGGCAGCTCACAGAATGAGGGAAAATATTGACAAATCATTTAAGGATCTTGCAGCCAGAATAGACACCTCTTAATGACTCAACAGCAAAAAGGTAACCCAATGTAAAAATGGGCAAAAGAAAAAAAAAATGGGCAAAAGAATGAAATCAACGTTTCTCCAAAGGAGATACACAAATGAGCAAAAACCACATGAGAGGATGTGACTAGTCATTAGGGAAATGCAAACCAAAACCACAAGGAGGTACCACTTCAACACCCTAGGATGGCCGTCATAAAGGAACAGAAAATTAGCGTTTGCGAGGATGTGGTGAAATTGGGACCTCCCATACACTGCTGGTGGAGGTGTAAAATGGTGCAGAAATAATGGGGGAAATAATTTGGTAGTTTCTCAAAATGTTAAGCAGAATTACCATATGACTCAGCAATTCCCTTTGTAGGTATATTCCACCCGCGATTGAAAACAGGTGTTCAAACAAACACACATGCATGAATGTTCATTTCAGCTCTATTCTCAATAGCCAAAGGTGGAAACAACCCAAGTGTCCATCAACAAGGGAATGGGTAAATAAATGTGATATATCCAAACAGTGAAATATTATCTTTGTATCTCTCTATCTATAGAAAAGCCTAAATGACTGTTCTGACCAAACAACAGATCAGTAGCTATGATGCATACTGACCACCAGGGGGCAGATGCTCAGTGCCAGGAGCTTCCCCCTGGTAGTCAATATGCTCCCACAGCCAACCTCCCGCGGCAGGCCAGCCTCTTGCGGTCCCTCCCCCCCGGCCAGTCGGTCCCAACTGGGGCTGGGCAAATTGGCCCCGATTCGCCCCAATTGCAGGCCAGGCTGAGGGACCCCAGCTGTGCATGAATTTGTGCACTGGGTCTCTACTTTAGCTATAAAAAGGAAATGAAATCCTGATACATGCTACAGCATGAATGAACCTTGAAAACATGCTAGGTGAAAGAAGCCAGTCACAAAAAGCTACATATTGTACGATGTTATTGTTACTGAGATTATTCGAATTAGGCAACTTGATAGACAAAGAGCAGATCCGTAGTTGCCAGGGGCTAGGGGCACTGTAGAATGGGAGAGTGAATCCATAGTGCTATGGGTTTCCATAGATAAGAGTGATGGTTGTACATTATAGATGTACTTGATGCCACTGAATTAATGCACTTTAAAATGATTCCAACGGTAAATGTTATGATCCTATATAATAAAATATGCTACGTATCTGACCGTTCGACCAGTCGCATGACGCGCACTGATCACCAGGGCGGGAGGGGGGGGAGAAGAGAGAAAGAGAGGGAGAGATCTGGTGCAGGGCCCATTCTAACGTTCTCCTGTGCTCCGATTTCTCAGCGTTATGTGCTGCCGAAGCAAGCGCTGGACCGCCTTTCCCTTGTAATAGTTGAGGCCAGCTTGGGAGTGGTGGGTCCCCTGATGAAAACGAGGGTCTGACAATCCCTTCCCGTGTGTTTCCTGGCAGCGGGGCCTGCGGGGAGGTGAAGCTGGCCTTTGAGAGGAAGACCTGTAAGAAAGTCGCCATCAAGATCATCAGCAAAAGGAAGTTCGCTATTGGCTCCGAGAAAGACGTAGTGAGTACCTGTGCTTTTGGGCTACTCGGCGGGTCCCTCCCACTCTTAATTTCCCAGAATCGTTTTTGGAATGGTCGTTTTCCACGTCAGGAAAAGAATTCACCGCTCAGGGATGTGAATCTGCATGGAAAGAACATGGGACGCGTCTGAGTGTATTCAGCTACCCTAGAAACTTATAATAATAATTTGGTTCCAAAAGATAGTTGCTTGCACATAATGTCCTAGCCGGAAGTTGATTTTTTTTTTTTTTTTTTTACCTCCTTCTAAGTTGTCATAAGACTGTTTTTACAATAAATGAGAGGAAATGGGGGGGGGGGGGAGATCCAGCCATATCCCTACCACTGTAAGTCCACAGCTGTTTCCAGTTTTCTTTTTTCCTTTCTAGCCTTTGTTCATGTGAATTCGTGTTTTTAGATGGTTGAAATCACATTGTATATACAATTTCCTCTCCTGCTTTTCCGTATAAGCATAAAGGCATCAACTTACCCCTCATCCATTCTTTTTGATGGTCAGACCTCAGCCACATCGGCTTTATCATCATGCATTCAACCATTTCTCCGGTTGGTGGTTTAGATCATTTCTAATTCTTTGCTCTTCCCAGTCAGTGTGGCAAATGCGTATCTTTGCGTTTATAGATTTTTTTTAACAAATCTTAATTAAATTATTTTCATCGTCTCTTTCGATACCAGCCACCCGTATGACGGGGTTACACTCTTACCGCGGGAGTGAAGTGGCCAAATGTATTATTGGTCTTTCAACACACGATTCCACCAAGTAATGTAAAATGGGATCCGAATTTCCTCTGTGGCCAGCTGTTTCTGGCCATTATTCTTGAGCATTCTTTCAAGATCGGTTTCTTCCCCCAACAATGCCATTCTCACGTAGCGAGAGGAATTTCCTTTCTGTGTTCACTTCGTTAAGAGAGCTTTTCCCCTGTGATTCCGGATTTGCTCCCCGCTGGTGGGAGAAAATACCTACCGGATTCTTAATGACTTGCAGCAGAATGTTAGTTCTTAATTTCATCTTTCAAATCGTCGTGAACTCTTTGAGACCTCCCAGTCATCAGAGCACACCCTGGCTTGGTAATGAGTTTAACGGCTTACAGGAAGGGGCAGGCTCTGGAAATGAAACATCTGGGTTTCTTAGCCGAAGTCCATTTTACATAAATATGTAACCCTATCTCCTCTGCGCCGGAGGAGGGTGTAGCCCGTGAGGCTGAGTAACTCGATTCATCCTCTTGGGATGGTAAGGGAGAACGACTTCAGGATCCTGAACCTTCCTCTGGTTAAAAGTCTCCATAAATATGTCAGCCGGCAGTGGAAACCGAAACCCGTGTCTGTTGTATTAGGAGATATTTTGACTTGATCGTTTCTTCCTATAGTTTAATAAAATAACCTTTTGGTCAGCGGTTGAGTTTTATAATTTTTTAATAACTGCAAACAATTCCACAGCTCATGGGACAAGCAGAATTTACCAGGTTAAGCACGGGAACAGTGGAAATACTTGTTTTTGGCTGTGGGCTTCCTTTCTCTGAGACTCAGTTGTTCCATCTGTAAAATGGGGATGATTATGGAAACCAGTTTGCTTGGGGATTATGTGGCTTATGTGGCATTAACCTTTTAAAATAAAGAGCTTGGGATAAAGCCTGGTCATTTATTGAATGCTTCCTATTTGCCATGCACTTGACTAGTGTAGAGTGATTTTAAGTGAGTTGTTTAAATGATTGATCCATAGGCCTTGATTTCTCTGTATGAGTAGAGATGGGTTTGGAACTCAGGCAGCTGTTACTCAACTAAGTTTAACTGTAAACATTTTCTAAATATTGGCTATTATTATTATTAATAATAAACTCTAATGCTATTTTATTTATTAAAGGACCCAGCACTCAATGTTGAAACAGAAATCGAAATTTTGAAAAAATTAAATCATGTAAGTACTTCTGTGAAATATGGCCCATTCTTAAAGTCATTTATCTCAAAATATGGGAGGAGTGCAAAGCATTTCAATATAGTAAAGCTAGCATGAAACGTGAGTTCCTTAATTGTGTGTGTACATGTGTGTGCGTGTGCATGCGTATGTGTGTTTAGTTGTCATTTAGCTGGAAAGAGCTTTACTCTGAACTTTAAAAAAAATATATATATTTTTTATTTATTTTTTACAGAGAGGAAGGGAGAGGGATAGAGAGTTAGAAACATCGATGAGAGAGAAACATCGATCAGCTGCCTCCTGCACACCCCCTACTGGGGATGTGCCCATACCAAGGTATATGCCCTTGACCCGAATAGAACCTGGGACCCTTCAGTCCGCTGGCCGACCCTCTATCCACTGAGCCAAATCGGTTGCAGCCTCTGCTGTTTTTAAATGATCCCTCATTCTATGTAGTCAACTCTGTTATTTTTTTAGACATACAGAATAGTCTCTTATCCTATAAATCAACGTTACTTTTTAGCTTAAATGAATAATAGGGAAAATAAAGTTAGCTGTCTGACCTTGCAGGCTAGCCATCTGACGTAAGGGGCTGATACTACTCCCGATAGTTATGTACTCAAGGCTATAAGCTGTCTACAAAAATAACTTACATAAAGCTCTTTGTGAAGTCTGCAGAAGGTCCGGAACCCCCATATTTGGGAGACAGAGAACTGGAAGCATATAAATAGGGAACACATCCTCCATGTTTTTGCTCAGAAACCTGGGAGACAGCTCCCTCTGGGCCCGCTGGCGTGAATCAAGACCCCTAATGAACTGGCTTGTTAAGGCGTCCTGTGTCCTGCTTGCTGATTTACGATACAACAGTCTGCAATGAGGAGGGGGTTGTGGGGAAGCCAGTCTGCCTTCCTCAGTGCCATCCTTACGTGAACCGTTGCTAACTTGGTGGGGTGGCGAGTTCCTTATACGTCCAGGTTAATTCTGTTCTGCCCTTTCCCCTGCGTGAACTTCAAAGTGTCCAAGTGCCTGCTCTTGGCCTCCTTGACTCTCTGAACTCAGTATTCCATAGGTTATGTTCATTAAATACATTTCAACTTAAGATGTTTTCAACTTACGGTTTATCAGGATGTAACCCCGTCGTTAAGTCAAGGAGCCCCTGTATTTCAAAGCACAGCGTTTTCGAGACTAATTCCTCACTTCGACAGATTTGTTAACGTTGGGTATTTAAACAAATGTACAATATGCTGAGAGTCTGCTCTTGTGGCTTTTCCTCTGGGGAGCTTCTCACCGCGTTCCCTCTTCTCCCTCTTTAGCCTTGTATCATCAAGATTAAAGACTTTTTTGATGCCGAAGATTTTTATATTGTTTTGGAATTGTAAGTAGGAAGCTTGTTTCATCTGTTTCTGTTTCAATGCTTATGGAAAGGCGAGTGCTGGCTTGCGTTTCTCGTCCTGGGGACCCAGGGCAGATGCGTGTGGTGGGAGGGGAGCCCGCAAAGTGCTTGAGGGGTTTCCTACTGGCTCCGAGACCCCTCCGTGTCCCAGGCCCCGGATCCGAGGCCTGGGTCTGAGTCCCACTCTGCAGGGGACGAGCTGACTGCCCACTGTTAGGCCTCTCACATCAGTCGTTCTCCTGGTGTTAAACGGGGTGATCATGACACCCCATTTGATGAGAGAATCATTGATCGGCTGTCTCCTGCACACCCCTGACTGGGGATGGAGCCCACAACCCGGGCATGTGCCCTGACTGGGAATCAAACCGTGACCTCCTGGTTCATAGGTCAGGGCTCAACCACTGAGGCACACCAGCCAGAATCTTCTCTCTGTTTTAAAGAGGCAGAAACAAGATCAGAGAGGTTATGCCCCGACCGGTTTGGCTCAGTGAATAGAGCGTCGGCCTGCGGACTGAAGGGTCCTAGGTTTGATTCCGGTCAAGGGCATGTATCTTGGTTGCGGGCACATCCCCAGTAGGAGGTGTGCAGGAGGCAGCTGATGGATGTTTCTCTCTCATTGATGTTTCTAACTCTCTATCCCTCTCCCTTCCTCTATGTAAAAATCAATAAAACATATTTTTTTAAAAATCAGAGAGGTTACATAATTTGCTCAAAGCGCCTCAGCTGGAAAGTTGTAGCTTTGGGTTTTAGTCCCCTGATGATCTGATTGGCTCCTCCTGCTTGCTGCTCTATGCCAGTCTCAGAATCTAACTGGGAGTGTGATTAAAACGCAAACTCCCGGGCCCTGCCTCGGATCCATGGAGTCAGATTAAAAATAATAATAATAATAATAAATATATATATATTTTTAATTTTTTAATTTTTAAAAATAAATTTTATTGATTTTGTTTTACAGAGAGGAAGGGAGAGGGATAGAGAGTTAGAAACATTGATCAGCTGCTTCCTGTACACTCCCCACTGGGGATGTGCCCACAACCAAGGTACATGCCCTTGACCTGAGTCGAACCCGGGACCCTTGAGTCCGCAGGCCGAGGCTCTATCCACTGAGCCAGACCGGTCAGGGCAGGAGTCAGATTTTGTAAAGCTCTCCCAAGTGTCTGCACTGCCCACTGCACCCTCTTCCCAGCTTTCCTTGTTTCCTACTATCCACTGGGGACATCCTCCTGGTGGAGGAAGCTTATTGCCTCATTGCCTTGACGACGGGAGTCACGGGGGAGTAAGACGGGCAGCCCCTGGCTTGTCTCGGGGAATTTGTTCTGCGTTGTCCACCCACGTGAGCCTCCCGCCGGCGTGAACGCCGTGCGGTGCGTGTGTTTCAGGATGGAAGGCGGCGAGCTGTTTGACAGGGTGGTGGGCAACCGGCGCCTGAGAGAAGCGACGTGCAAGCTGTACTTTTACCAGATGCTCCTGGCCGTGCAGGTGAGGAGCCCCGGAGCTGGTGTGTGTGTGTGTGTGTGTGTGTGTGTGTGTGTGTGTGTGTGCGTGTGTGCGTGCCTCTGCTCACACGCATACTCCTTACGTGAAGGACCATGCCTCCCTTTCCGTGCAGTACCTTCACGGCAATGGCATTATACATCGGGACTTAAAGCCAGAGAATGTTCTACTCTCATCTCAAAAAGAGGACTGTCTGATAAAGGTAAGACGTGTGTGTTCTGTATGTGGCCATGCCGGCAGATTTCTGTCCAGAAGCTGTTAGGTTCATCAGGTAAAAAGTATGAGCATAAAAATGTTGGGAATTTGCCGAAACCGGTTTGGCTCAGCGGTAGAGCGTCGGTCTGCGGACTGAAAGGTCCCGGGTTCGATTCCGGTCAAGGGCATGTATGTTGGTTGCGGGCACATCCCCGGTAGGGGGTGTGCAAGAGGCAGTGGGTCGATGTTTCTCTCTCATCGATGTTTCTAGCTCTCTATCTCTCTCCCTTCCTCTCTGTGAAAAATCAATAAAATATATTTTTTAAAAAAGGTTGGGAATTTGATCTTTCCACTTTTAGCAGTTATTTTTACAGTCCAGTTGGTATTCATTTATTTTTTTAATTAAAAAATATATTTCTTTATTGATTTCAGAGAGGAAGGGAGAAGGAGAGAGAGATAGAAACATCAATGATGAGAATCATGGATTGGCTGCCTCCTGCACACCCCCTACTGGGGATCAAGCCCACAACCCAGGCTTGTGCCCTTGGCGGGAATCGAACCTGGGACCCTTCAGTCCGCAGTCTGATGCTCTGTCCACTGGGCCAAGCCAGCTAGGGTGGTATTTATTGTTTTAATCCGGATTCTAATGAGCATTTGTGGAGCTCCACTGTGTACAAGCCACTTTTATGTTCAGAGGGAGGGAGAGTGACCTAAATGGAGGGTAAGTTATATACATCCCATCTTCTTCCCTCTGTCTGAGACAGTGCTGCTCAAGCCTGGCTTAGCTTTGGAATCTCTTAGTGATTAGAGTGAATGAATAAAGAATGAATGAATGAATAAGTACAATCATGTCGTCCAGGCTGCTCCTGTGGGTCTGTCTGTAAAGGTGGCATCCAGAGATACATTTTCTCCCCCCAAGTCCCTCAGCTGAGAAACCGGGGTCTACAAGGAACCATACATAGCTAATCAGAATCCTGGAGGTCTGCGATAGAAGTTATAAACCTTTTGTAAGGTTACAGAGAACACAGATACGTTGGCATAATGCCTGGGCCTTGGAGAGTTCTTGGCTCCGGAATGTTAATATAAGCAAAATGAAATAACTTGAAAAAGCTCCGAGCGGCCTTCGATTAGACACGAATTTGTAGATTCCAGATTAGCGGCAGACGTGAAGTGTAGGGCAGAAACCGGTCTGACCTGCCCGTCTTTGGGGACTGGCAGGCTGTGTGAATCTTTTTATTTATCATTAAAACGGATTCCTGTTTGTTTGTCTTTGGTTTTCAGATCACTGATTTCGGGCAGTCCAAGATCTTGGGGGAGACCTCTCTCATGAAAACCTTATGCGGCACCCCCACGTACTTGGCCCCCGAGGTTCTCAGCTCCCTCGGGACCGCCGGCTATAACCGTGCTGTGGACTGCTGGAGTTTAGGAGTCATTCTTTTTATTTGGTAAGAAACCGTGGCTTTCAGAGTCTGGTTGGAGTTCATTAGGTGAAATCAGAAACATGCCCAGGTAGAGAGGGCTTGTGTTTAATTTAGATCACTTTTTTTTTTCTTTTTTTCTTTAACCATTGATGTATAGAACAATTCTTTTCCTTTCTCTCCCTGCCGCTACGAAGCCTCAGTGGGTACCCACCTTTCTCTGAGCATAAGACTCCCGTGCCGCTGAAGGACCAGATCACCAGCGGGAAGTACCACTTCATTCCTGAGGTCTGGGCGGAGGTCTCCGAGCAGGGTACGGACACGGATGGGTTAGGAGGCCAAAGGTTTGCTCCCCTGTGTGTGTGTGCTGTGGTGGGAGCGTTCCTTCTCCAGTCCCATTGTGTTTTCCTCTGCCGTCCATTCTGCTCTCACTTCCTGTTGCTTTGCACCGTGTGAGAGGCTGCGGGGGGTGTTATCAGACAGCTCTAGACTCAGGTCCTGGGTCTGCTCCTCCTAGCTGGGTGACCTTGGGCAAGTGGTTTCAACTCTCTGAGTCTCCATTTTCTTTACTTGTAAAAGGGGACACAATCAGCCCCTACCTTAAAGGGTTTTTGTAAGGGTTAAATATAACATACACAAGTGCTGGGTATCGATTTAAGTGTGGGAAAAAAAAGTAACCTTTTATTTATTTATTTTTTAAGATGACAGTGGATTTATTTTATTTATTATTATTTTAAAAATTTATTTTATTGATTTAAAAAATATATATATTTTATTGATTTTTTTTTTTTTTTTTTTTTTTACAGAGAAGAAGGGAGAGGGATAGAGAGTTAGAAACATCGATGAGAGAAACATCAGTCAGCTGCCTCCTGCACAACCCCCACTGGGGATGTGCCCACAATCGAGATACATGCCCTTGACTGGAATCGAACCCGGGACCCTTGAGTCCACAGGCCGATGCTCTATCCGCGGAGCCAAACCAGTCAGGGCTATTTTATTGATTTTTTTTTACAGAGAGGTAGGGAGAGGCATAGAGAGTTAGAAACAGTGTTGAGAAAAAAAAAACATCCATCAGCTGCCTCCTGCACACCCTCTACTGAGGATGTGCCCACAACCGAGGTACATGCCCTTGACTGGAATCAAACCTGGGACCCTTCAGTCCCTAAGCCGATGCTCTATCCTAGAGCATCGCAGGCCAGGGCAACAAGTAACTTTTTAGTTACAAGGTTTCCTTTGAGTAAACAAGCACGTCAGAGTAAGGTGTAACTAATTCCTTTGTGTTTAAGAATTTCACGTGCAACTTTGACATTCTCAAAGGAGAAAAGCGGAAAAGTGAAATGAAAGGACAGCTAGCTGTAACAGAGTTGCTTGTGTTAAATGTCAGTGTCTAAGGAGTAATATTGTTGCAATGCACACACCAGCCTCCAAGTGTTGCTGGCCATCCAGGTTCCTGTCTGCCAAGCCTCTCGCTGCCTAAGGAATTCTCACCATCCATCGCTGGGTATCGGGGAGCGTGGGCTTGTATCCCGGGTGTCTTAGAACTGGGTGTAAGTTCAGAAGACCAGATGGTCCAGGTGTTGGCGGGACAGTCCTGATTTCTAACAATTTTTCCCGCATCCCGCAGCATTTTAAAAAAGTCCTGATTTTTGGAAAGAATCTTTCCAATGTTTCCAGTCTTTCCAAAAATCGGGATTTTTTTAAAATGCTGCGCGATGCGGGAAAAATTGTTAGAAATCAGGACTGCCAACACCTGAACCATCTGGTCACCTTAGTGTAAGTTCAGCTTTAATTATTTTGACCTTGAACCCGGCCAAGAGAGAAGGAGCAGAGAGGGAAGAGGGGGAGATGCCTGAGCAGGAAGCCATGGTCCTTCCTGCTGTTCTCAGAGCGCTCTGATGGATACGGAGACTGAGGGAAGGTGATGGAGAGTCAGGGGGCCCTGCCCGCCACGCCTGCTGACTCCTCCATGATCTCAGCCCCTCTCTCTCCTTTCTGGACGCTGGCCTGGGATTCTGGCAGGCTGTTCATTTTGCTGATTCAGTGCATTTACCTTTCTCCCTGGGGCTTACTGCTGCAGCGCTGGACCTCATCAAGAAGCTGTTGGTAGTGGATCCAAAGGCACGTTTTACGACGGAAGAGGCTTTGAAACACCCGTGGCTTCAGGTGGGTATGGGCGGTGCCGCCTCGTAGCATAAGCCACGTGGGCAGCCCTGGACTGTGCCTCGGAGATGAGGAAGAGGAGGGAAACACAGCCTTGGCTTTTAGGGTCTGTATCCTGCAGCTGTTGTAGATGAAGCATTAGGTGGGCGGGGTCTGTAGATATGTGGGTGTGTCTTTGTATGGTGTCTGGGTGCAGTCTTTTTATTTTCATTTTATTTTATTTTTTAAAATATATTTTATTGCCGAAACCGGTTTGGCTCAGTGGATAGAGCGTCGGCCTGCAGACTGAAGGATCCCAGTTTCGATTCCGGTCAGGGGCATGTACCTTGGTTGCGGGCACATCCCCAGTGCGGGGAGGTGTGCAGGAGGCAGCTGATCGATGTTTCTCTCATCGATGTTTCTAGCTTTCTATTCCTCTCCCTTTCTCTCTGTGAAAAAATCAATAAAATATATATTTTTGAAAAAATATATATATACATATATATATTTTATTGATTTTTTTTTTTTTTACAGAGAGGAAGGGAGACGGATAGAGAGTTAGAAACACCGATCAGCTGCCTCCTGCACACTCCCTACTGGGGATGTGCCCGCAACCAAGGTACATGCCCTTGACGAATCTGGGGACCCTTCAGTCCGCAGGCCGACGCTCTATCCACTGGGCCAAACTGGTTAGGGCTGGGGGCAATCTTTTTTAAAGTTCGTGCGTAGCTCTTGTATGGACAAGCTCCCTTTATGGCCGTTCTTGGTTCCACTTGGCCTCCCGGGGCTGGCCGTTTGGCTGTGTGCCTCGGAGGAGCTGTTCCAACGCGGAATCTCATCCCCAGCTGTGCTCCCCTCCTCCCTCAAACCCTCCACTCCAAACAGGTGGGATGGGCTGCGTTCCAGCCTTTTCCCCTTTAAATCAAGGGAGCAGGTGTTGGAGGGGAAGGGCAGTGTCCCCGGGGGGTGGGGGGGTGGGGGGAGGATCTAACTGTTTCTGAAGCCCAAGCAATTGGATGGAAAGGACCCCGCTTGTCCGTGGAGAGGAAGCAGGCCTCTCGTGCAGGCCGTCACCTGCGCCTCCCGAGTGCGCATTCCCTCTGCGTCCCCTCCGGGCGTGCAGCTGCCGTGAGGTTCCGCACTGAGCTCATCCCAGCTGTGGGGGCTGGACGTCCTCTGTGGCTCCGCTGGGGTCATCTTTTTAAAAATAATATATTTTATTGATTTTTTTACGGAGAGGAAAAGAGAGGGGTAGAGTTAGAAACATCGATGAGAGAGAAACATCGATCGGCTACCTCTTGCATACCTCCTACTGGGGATGTGCCCGCAACCAAGGCACACACGCCCTTGACCGGAATCGAACCCAGGACCCTTCCGTCTGCAGGCCGACGCTCTATCCACTGAGCCACACCGGTCTCAGCCGCTGGGGTCATCTTTGCTGTAGGCCTCAGCTGCAGCATCGGGCAGGCCTTCAGATGGATGTCAGGTCTCCTGTTCCATGCTTCTTTCTGGGAACCTGCACTTGGTCTCTCCGTTCCCTGTGGGGTGGAGACGGAACCATCCATCTCAGCACCGTGCTTCTGGGATTCTGGAAAGGTCGTCCCCATGCTTCTCCTCTTTCAACCCTCTATGCCTAACAGGTTGGCTCCAGTCAGCTCAGCTCAGGTTGAGAGCAACACGTCCTTAAAAGAAATTTAAAAAAAAAAAATATTTTATTGATTGTTTACAGAGAGGAAGGGGGAGGGATAGAGAGTTAGAAACATCGATGAGAGAGAATCATCAATCAGCTGCCTCTTGCACACCCCCTACTGGGGATGTGCCCGCAACCATGGTACATGCCCTTGACCTGAATCGAACCCGGGACCCTTCAGTCCGCAGGCTGACGCTCTATCCACTGAGCCAAACCGATTTTGGCTAAAATAAAATTTTAAAAAGTAGATATATGTGTTTGGGATGTTGACCTAGCAACAGCAGTCTCCCCCCCCCAGCCAGAAACCTGCCAGATGATTTAGTGCTTACAGACCACACAGATCTGAAACCGCGGGCCCTGGAGAAAAGGAGCTGGGAAACAAAGGCTGCCGTTGCCTGTGGGAGTTAGCGTTGATGAGAAAGGAAAGCATGTCCCTGGCTCTGTGCGCCCCAGCGGGGAGACTTGGGGGCCCGATGTGGAAGTAGAGGAGCCGTGTTAGGTCTTGAAAAAAAAATTTTTTTTTTTTAAATGGAGCTGCCCCGTTAGGCCTGGGAACGGGGTTTGCATCTCCCCCGGATGTAGGAACAAGAACAGCCTATTTTTCTTGTACTTTTTTTTGCCGGAAAAAAAAAACAAAACACACCGCTGTTAACAGCCAAGGCAGAGGCGAGGTTCAGCCTGATTCGGCCACAGGAGTCTCACTAGAGTCCTCTTTTGTCTGCATTTTGTTTTGGCAGCAAAAGGTGGAGTGAACGTTGAATGAGGATAAGGATGCGGAGTGCCCACACCTGCTAGTGACCGCTGAGGCTTTGTGTTGGGAAAAGGCAGGGTTCTGGACGAAGCCAAGGGCTCTGGCCGGTCTGGCACTGGGCTGAGCACTGGGAATGGGAGTTCTGGTCTGTTTTGTCGGAGCACCCCTTAGATCCACTTTCTGCCTCACTTCCTGAAACAGGATTCCTTCCTGCCTGCCTCTGAGGCACCTTCCAGTTTGAATATTTTTTTTTTAAATATATATTTTTTATTGATTTTTGTACAGAGAGGAAGGGAGAGAGATACAGAGTTAGAAACATCGATGAGAGAGAGTCATCGATCAGCTGCCTCTTGCACACCTCCTACTGGGGATGTGCCCGCAACCAAGGTACATGCCCTTGACCGGAATCGAACACGGGACCTTTCAGTCCCCAAGCCGACGCTTTACCCGTTGAGCCAAACTGGTTTCGGCAAGTTTGAATTTTTATAAAAAATATATATTTTATTGATTTTTTACAGTGAGGAGAAGGGAGAGGGATGAGAGTTAGAAACATCGATGAGAGAGAAACATCGATTGGCTGTCTCCTTCACACCTCTCCTCAAAGTCTGTGCCCTTGACCGGGATCGAACCTGGGACCCTTCAGTCCACAGGCCGATGCTCTTTCCACTGAGCCACACCAGCCAGGGCTTTCCTTTCTCATTAGACCCAAGCTCCGGTTATTGTGGGCGGGAATCCTTCTGGCGATTTGCACAGCACTTGCTGGTGGGTTGGTTAGGGTGGCCCCAGGAACTGGCCGCACGTTGGCAGGGAGAGGAGGTGGGCGACCTCCTGGAAAGACTTCGTAGCTGCACGGAGTCAGCGCCAGCCTCCGACCTTCTGCTTGCCATCTCAGGCAGGACCCGGGACGCTGGTCCTGAAAGTCTGTCTGTGGTTCTCTCTGACCCGCCAAGAGCGCTGCAGCATGTGGTTTTGATTCAGCCAGTGCTGATTGAGCGCTGCCTGCTGATTAGCCCACTCGGGGGAGGGGGGGCAGGCGGTCCTCTCCCTCCCGGAGCTCCGGCAAGGGCCCTGCCACTCAGCTGGTAGACCCGGCGCCTCTGCCCACTTCTCGGTTTCCGGAGGCTTCCCGGCCCCGTCCTCCGAGGAGCTGTTCCTCCCTCCGACGCAGGCTGCTTACGCTTTCCGTTTCTTTTCAGGATGAGGACATGAAGACGAAATTTCAAAATTTGCTTTTTGAAGAAAATACATCAACGGCTCTACCCCAGTTCCCGGCCCAGGTATCCAGATGACGCTCGTTAAACGCAGGTTTAAAGAGCCAGTGAGCAAGGATGATGAGTCTGAATAGTCTAATAACAATTGCTACACACACACACACAGGAGTGATGTCGTAGATACTTTGTTTCGGCTTGACCTACTCCAGTAAGCAGTAAGCTTTATGCACTAGAGATGCACAGCGAGGGACTGCCACGGAAGCAGTCTCCTGCAGGTCCAGGGGAAAAGACTCTGTTCGAGGCTCAGTGAGAAATTAGGTGACAATTTAAAAATGTGGATGAGTGGTGGGTGGTTTGTTGATTATACTTTTATTCCTCCATTGTTCTCTGTACGCGTAAGGCAGTGTTTCCCAGGCTTCTCTCATTATGAGAATCACCTGGGGGAGTTGTTAAACTACAGATTCCTGAATCCCAACGGAGGAGTGCTAACCTAGAATTTTGGGGAACCTATAGGTAAAAGAGCGCTAAGTTAAGTAGACAGTTTTACCTATAGGTTCCCAAAAATTCTAGGTTAGCACTCCTCCGTTGGGATTCAGGAATCTGTAGTTTAACAACTCCCCCAGGCGATTCTCGTCATGAGAGAAGCTTGGGAAACACCGGTGTAAGGTAATATCTGTTCATTCCTGTGCCACCTTCTTTCAGCACTCCTCTGCCCACTCTGCCCTTGCAATTCTGTAAACTGGAGAACAAAGACACACAAAAAAGACTTGTCTTTCCATAAAATTGGGGCTCCCATCTCTTTAAATTTCCTGATGTAGGAGAAGATGGCCCAGAGGAGGCTGTGAGTGCTGCTTACCATTGTGGCTATTGATTGAGCATTGACCCACGTACTAGGAGGTATCAGTTTGAATTCTGGTCAGGGGTAGGTGCTGGGGTTGTTGGCTCTGTCTCCAGCAGGGGGCGTGCAGGAGCAGCCGGTCAATGATTCTTACTCATCATTTTTTTTTTTAATATATTTTATTGATTTTGTACAGAGAGGAAGGGAGAGAGCTAGAGAGTTAGAAACATCGATGAAAGAGAGTCATCAATCAGCTGCCTCTTGCACACCCCCCACCGGGGATATGCCCGCAACCAAGGTACATGCCCCTGACCAGAATCGAACCCGGGACCCCTCAGTCCCCAAGCCGAAGCTCTATCCATTGAGACAAACTGGTCCCGGCTCTTACTCATCATTGATGTTTCTGTCCCCCTTTCCCTTCCTCTCTGAAATCAATAATAATATATTAAAAAAATATATAAATATAAATCATTGAATGATCGGGAAGCCACAGGGAGAGAGCTGCCATTCTGATGAGCAGGTCTGAGTCCGGTGGAATGAGATGGGGACTCAGTGAGGAAAACCAGTCGCTGTTGTTGGAACTAGAGGCTTCATGTGAAAGCCTTCCAGTTTACAGGGAGCAGAGTGGGAAACGCGGGTCCATCTTTAAACAGCCCGCGGTCTTCCTGGAACGTCTCTCCCTCTTCCTCTCTTTCCAGCCTTCCACGAGTCGAAAGCGGATCCGGGAAGGGGAGGCGGACGATGCTGGCACCGCGAAGCGCCTGGCTGTCTGTGCTGCCGTCTCCTGAACTCTCCCTCAGTGGGCGAGAAAAGTACCTTCCTGAACCCTGCTGCTCTTTTCTTTATGTTTGTTTGTTTGTTTGTTTGTTTTTAGACTTTAATTATGGGGACAGCTGCTTTTCCAGAGGCGCCAGTGCACAATGAAAGACCTCATGGAGCCTGGGCTGCGTGCTTGATGGTCAAGCTCCGGCTCGATGATCAGCTCTTTTCGGTGCACGCCTTTGTGCGTGTGTGAAATCATGTGCTTTTTATCTGGAACTCTCCGTGGCTGTGGCCAGCCAGCCAGGTTTCTCAGGAAAGGCCCTTGGTCTCAGCCTAGGGGAGACGCATGCACATTCTGAAGGCTCTTCGGACAGCTGCAGGGAGGAGGGGCACTGGGGGTCGGGGTGGAGTGTGGAGAGAGTGACTGGCTGCCACAGTCCTCCTGTGGTGTGGCAGGTAGCCTGGTGCAAACACCACGGGCCCATTTTAATTTCAATTTTTTTTACTTTTCCACGGGCCGATTTTAAATTCTCATCCTCGCCCTCTATAACAAAGATGCAGGTCCACAGTGACGCTCAGGGAAATAAGTCAAAGAGTGTATGATTTCACTTAGCGGAGGTACCTAGAGGAGTCGGACTCTGAGACAAATTAGAATAGTGGTTGCCTGGAGCTGGGGGAAGGGCAGTGAGGAGGGGGGAATTGTTGTTTAATGGACGACAGAGTTTCTATTTTGCAAGATGAAGAGTTCTGGAGATGGATGGGGTGGTGACGATTGTACAGCAATGTGAATACTTAATCCCACTCAGCTGTGTGCTTACAAAAGGGTTAAGACGTTACATGTTACGTGTATTTTACCACAATAAAAAAAGAAGGCCCCGGTTGGCGTGTTCAGTGTTTAAGCGTTGGAGGCAACCGGTTGATGTGTGTCTCTCTCTCTCTCTCATCAATGTTTCTCTCTCTCTCTTCCCCTCTTTCCCCCACTCCCTCCTACTCTCAGTAAATTAATGGGAAACATATCCTCCGGTGGGGATTAACAACAAACATAAAGGGCTGCAGTTCTTGAAACCTCGGGGCCAGATAATTTGTAGTAAAACTCAATATTTTCCTGATTTTAGGAAGAGGACATGGCACAACAACTTTATTATGTGTCATGCCCAGTACAGTCCTGTAACCAAGCATTAATATTCCTGCAGCAGACATGCACAGTATAGGGCAGTGGTCGGCTCTCTGGCCCCTTGAGCGTGGCTTTTCCACAAAATACCACGGCCTGTGTGAGTCTGTGTTGAAGAAGTGGCGTTAGAAGAAGTTTAAGTTTAAAAAATGTGGCTCTCCAAAGAAATTTCAATAATTGTACTGTTGATGTTTGGCTCTGTGGACTAATGAGGTTGCCGACCACTAGCAGGGGATGGAGAAGACTAAGGCATAGCAGTTAATTCTTTCCTGTCTAGAAATGCAGATCAGGCCTGTGAGTGTGTCCTGGTGACCCAGTAATGACCAAAGAGGCTCTATGTAAGGTGACATGTCCAATTCTTACTTTTTTGGGGGGGTCCCTCTACCCCATGAAATCATGGGGTGGGGGGGCGAGTGAGACGGTAAAGCTAAGTATCTTCTACTATGGAAGCTGAAAGTACTAGAGGCTCCTTCCCTGGTAGAGCTCTTCCCACTGGGCCACCCAGCTAGAGATGATCACAGGACTTTGAAAACTGGGCAAATGGAAATGAAGCCAATGGATGACATTTGCTTTCTGGAGCAATGTTGTGCTAAGCTGAGCTTTTTGCCTTTCCTGACTTTTGGCGTTGGGCAACTTTCTTCAAAATGGGTGTAATAAGGGTATCAACCTCAAGAGTCTCAACCCCGAGACTTTGGAGGGAACTTGTGGGGATCAACTGCTTTCCTGGTCTGGTAGGAGGTAGGAGCTGCATGGGATACTACAGGAGGAGAACTGTATGAGAGGGAAGCCTCAGAGGGAAGCGGAGCTGAGGTTGGAGAAAGACGGGGTACTGTTTGAGCATCTGGATCTAGCTATGCCTGTAATGAGGTACCACCCCAGGACTTTTTAATACTCTCCTTTGTTTTACTTCAGGTTGAGGTTTTTTTGTGTGTGTGTGTGTGTGTGTGTGTGTGTGTGTGTGTGTTGTCACTTGTATCTGGAAAAGACCGGACTAATAAATCCAACCATTTATAAACTCCAGGAGACCCTTGTAAACTTTTTTTTTTTTTTCTACCAGGGAAAACATTCTCTGCTTCTGTTTTGCTTTCTGCCAAGTTGAGGGTCTTCAGAGACGTTTGGGGCAGAGAATGCAAAGCAAAGATGTGGGAAGTAACGGACCTTCCAGCTCCCAGGTGGCGTTCACCCCTCGCAGCTAATTCTACCCCAGGGCTTGGGAGCCGAGTCTTTTCATTAAGCTTTTAGGCACTTTGAAGGACGGGGCCGGAGCTACACAGGGGAGCTTGGAGAGCCTGGCGTGTGCCAAGCCGGGTGCTCAGGAGCACACATGCATCGTCTGGAAGCTCGTGTCAACTTGGCGAGATAGGACTGCCATTCCCTGCTTCGCAGATTTAGAAATCAAGGCTTTTCGAAACCGGTTTGGCTCGGTGGAGAGAGCGTTGGCCTGCGGATTGAAAGGTCCCAGGTTCGATTCCGGCCAAGGGCATGTACCTTGGTTGCGGGGACATCCCCAGTGGGGGTGTGTGCAGGAGGCAGCTGATCTATATCTCTCTCTCACCGATGTTTCTAACTCTCTATCCCTCTACCTTCGTCTCTAAAAAATTAATAAAATATATTAAAAAAAACAAGGCTCTCTGGCTCAGTCTAGTGTTCTATTCCAGTGCCCCCAGTCTGTAACAGGTGGAGGCAATACTGGAACCGAGGTCTCCCTTCTCCAGAGCCCGTGGTTTTTAGCCGGTAAACAAACCTACTTGAGAGGTCTTGACATCTGATTATACCACCTGGCATCTCTTAGGCCCGGTGTTGACACTTCGTTGACACTTCTATCTCGATTATGTCTTGAGTCCTCCCATCATGCCTTCGTTGTCGGACCTTCCTCATCAAGGAGAAACAGACCCGGATTCCTGACCTTATTCATCACGCGAAGGTGAGTGGAGATGCGGGACTGTCACTCAGGGTCTCCATGGAGCCTGGCTCCGCCAGAGACCAGGGCTTTCCCTGTGCCGCTTGCTCGTCGTGCACGTGCTTGCATCCTTCCACTCCGGGCATCTCAGCAGAGACATCCTTCGTCTGGCCCTTCGTGGGGGACCAGACCCTCGCCCCAAGTTCTGTGCACCGGTGGCAGCAAAGGGAGCCGTGCCTGCAAGGAGCCCAGGCATCCGGCCTGGGGTGGTCCGCTGTGCGGCAGGTGGCGGCGCTGAACTCAGAACAGCCGGCCGGGTGCGGAGGGGGTGGACGCGGCGCCGGGAACAGCGGGCCGGCTCCGGGGCACGAGGCGGGGCTCGCGGGGAGGGGGGCGCGGCGCGTGCGCGCGTGCGCGGCGGCGGCGGCGGCGGTGGGCTTCGCGGCGGCGCGCGTGCGCGTGCGCGGGGAGGGGGCTGGCGGGGGACCGCCGCGGCGGCGGCGCGCGGCACGGCGGGAACATGGCGCGCGGAGCCGGCGCGCGCTCCTAGCTGGCGGGACCGTTAGCTCGAGGCGGGCGGACGCGGCCCCGGGCCCCCGCGGGGATGGAGCAGTCGCCGCCGCCGGCGCTCGAGCCGACCCCGGGGCCGACCCCGGCGCGGGGCCGGAGGCGGCGGGAGCCGGAGTCGCCGCCGGCGCCGGTGAGTGCGTGAGGGGCGCGGGCCGGAGACTTTCTTTGTGAAAACTCCGTCGGTGGGAGCCCGGCCGGGCCTGGGCGGCTGACGAGCGCCCGCGAGGCGGAACCCGGCCCCCCCCGGACGGGTTCGATCCCCGCCTGGCATCCTCGGGCGGCGGGGACCGGCCTGTCGCCCGTCCGCCTCAGTTTTCGCGGGAGTCCGTGCGCGCGCGCCGGGGGCCGGGGAGCGCGGTAGACAGTCGGCGCCTAATGCGCGCGGCGGCGTCTCCGCCTCCCCCCCTCCCCCCGCGCTTTTGGGGGCGGCGGCCCCTCAACGCAGCCCGCCCCTCGGGGCGGCGGGCGGCAGCCGCTGGGAGACAGGTGTCCGCGCAGTCGCGGGAGGCTCAGGTGCAGGCAGCCCCGGGGGGGGGGGGGGGCGGGGAGGGGGTCCCGGGAAGGAAGCCAGCCTGTCGGGGGCTTAGGACACAGCGGTTCGGGAATGCTTCCCTTCCGCCCCAGCTTCGGGGTGTGTTGGGGCATCGGTCTGGGCGAAGGATGCTCAGTGACATTGACTTTGGAGGTGTGGCATCTTGCTGGGTGGGGAGGGATGGTCCTGAGCCTTGGGTTCTCCAATACAGCGCGGGGGGGGGAGGGGGGGAAGGTATCGGTATCGGAGCGATTGATGAAAATACCAGATTCAACCCAGGCCCGAGGTCTCTCCAAGGCTGAGAAGCAGATTTTGACTTTTAAACAAGCTGCCAAGTTGTCCTCATCGGGCTCCTTTGACAAGCACTGGCTTCCTGTGAGCAGAGACACCTGTTCTGCTGATGGGTCACCGTGGTGGCATGCTGGTACCAGGTGCAGTGCCTGGCACATGGGAGATGCTCAGTAAATACTTGTAGCAAGACTAAATGGACTTAGGGAGTTTCCAAAAATAGTTTCTTGAGACATGTTGAGGTTAAATGGCTGTCAAGGTTACTGTATAATGTGACTTTTATCAGGTACAAACATAACTTTTGGGAATGTTTATAACGCCTTGTTTTAAGTAGGTTGTAAGCAAAGCAGGGCATACATATAAGCCATCAACTACGAGGACCCTGGCTAGGTTAACACGAATTTTGAAATAGAATTCTGAATAATAATAATAAAAAGCATGGTTCTTTCTCTCCATCACTTGGGAACACTAGGCTTGTAAGGATTTTGTTTTCTTTGAGGCAGGTAAACATTTACATTTTCATCAAAGCAAATCTGAATGACTGTTTATTCAGAACAGTTGGAAA